GAGAAGGGACAAACAGAAGGTCAGGTTTCTCTGGGAGCTTGAGGCAGACAGACAAACTCTTACATGTTTGTGAGAGTGAGATTATGGTACAAGTCGATGTGTTCATTACAGACCATCAGCTCTAACCTCTGACCCTCATGGATCATTATGTTTGAATTTGGACATTTTAAATCACAATATTGACCTAAAACGACTTAATAAAAGAAACAAATGTGCTGTGTTCTGTGTTAGAAAACTGTGGTCCAATGGGAGCTGACGTCACCGTAAATGTCATTACAACAAAGTGCTGGCACATCACACTAGAGCAGAGCATTTTTACTTCCATCTGTACCAAAATGACTACATGACACTGCTGAATCCTACATGTGCCACTGATTAAGAAAATAAAAGTGTAGTGGGTGTGCACCAGTGAGGGTGAGACCAAGAAACAACAACATGACGTCTGTACACTTGTGATACTGACCGTGCACTGTGAGAGTGAAGCTCCTATTGACGGCCCCTAAAGCGTTGGAGGCGGTGCAGGTGTAGGGGCCCTCATGCTGGGAGGAGGCAGAGGGGATGGTGAGCACAGGGCCCCTGTAGTCGGAGCCTGAGGGGAGGCTCCAGCTGTACAGAGGCGGGGGGTTCCCCTCAGCTCTGCAGACCAGCTCAGCTGACTGGCCCTGGTTCACAGTGAGGAGCTGTGGCTCCTCGGGGCCCTCACTGTACGGCGCATCTACACATAAGACAGTTATTATATTTACTGTGTACATTTGAGCTGTTAGCAAAGCCATAGGCTTCATGTGTCATAGAAATGTGTTAAAGATGATTCAAATAAACATGATCCCACTTTCCCCACGCACTCTCTCCAGTGAACACTCACAGTGCACGACAGCCGTGATGTTGTGTGACCTGACCACTGGAGGGGGCTGTGGGCCCTGAGGCCCCAGCTCCAGTCTGGCCTCACACCAGAAGGTGGCCCCATGGTCCTCTCTGCTCACTCTGTAGTCCAGACAGAAGCTCTCGCTCACTGGATGTTTCTCTGTTTTGCTGCTTCTCATGACAAGCAGCTCCCTGAAGTCCCTGTAAAAGGTCACCTTCATGTTCTGAGCAGGAGCCACGGCCTCCACCTCACACTGCAGACAGTACACCTGGCCCTCCTTCAGGGGCCCAGAGGGGCTCTCCAGCGAAGACCCTGAGCGATTTTTAAAGCTCACAGACACATTCTCTGGAGGCTCTGTAGAACAGAGGGCTTTAGTCTCTTACACATGTGTTACATCAGAACAATGAGAGGTACTCACTGTAAACGATCACATCCAGAGAAACAGTTGGACAGTCGCTGTCAAATATATAACACAATATATTGACACTCCACGGCAGTCTCAGACTGGAGATGTTCCAGACCATTTGGTTCCCTCTCTTGAAGCTGGACTGATAGGCCTCCTCCAAGCGGAGCTCATAGTCACAGGAGTTGTTGCAGATGGAGCATGTGGCTGTGGCGAAGTCTCCGCGCTTCACCACCAGTGGAGACGGACTGAACACAGGGAGCTCCTCACAGCCTGCACACAGAGAAGACATGAGGTCCTCCTCACAGTCTACAGACAGAGAGACATGAGGTCCTCCTCACAGTCTACAGAGAAGACATGAGAAGACATGAGGTCCTCCTCACAGTCTACAGAGAAGACATGAGGTCCTACACAGAGCTGCACAGCACAAAACTAAAACTAAAGACATGGCTTGTACTTTGATGATTTGACAAATAGGGAATGACGCATATCTCCTTCATGAAGATTCGAGAAGTGTCCTAAAACCACATGCACACAGAGAAGTAGCTGCACAAACAAAACTCCAGCTAACTCACTGCAAACATTCTTCTCTCTGTTACTGTGCAGATAAACATTTATGAACCTAAACTCAGGTCAACAATTAAATATTAACCAATCGAATCTACTAAAGGAGCACAGACCTGGAGTCAGTCCTGCCAGTACACAGCCCCTCACTATATTTACCGCATGAGCTCATGGATTGAAACTTGTGACAGTACCATATAAAAGTACTACATACAGATTTACTATACATGGAGAGTACAATACGCAAAGTACTATACACAGAGAGTACCAGTGTTGGGGAGTAATGGATTACATGTACTGGGATTACGTAATCAGAGTACAATTTATGAGTAACTGTATTCAGTTACAGTTACTCTTTGAATGAGTGGTAATTAGATTACAGTTACTTTGTTAAAATAAATGGATTACACTGAGGTATTTTCCTGTTTACACATTTTGGGCTAAACCGGGACTAAACTAGGACTAAACCAGGCCTAAAACAGGACTAAATCAGGACTAAACCAGGTCTAAAACCAGGTCTAAAACAGGACTAAATCAGGACTAAACCAGGACTAAACCAGGTCTAAAACCAGGTCTAAAACCAGGACTAAAACCAGGACTAAACCAGGACTAAAGCAGGACTAAACCAGGTCTACACAACATGACACCTAACAGTAGAGTGGACATAATTTAAGGCAGCAGTGATTTCATATAGAAATAATTTCTCAATCAATAATATTTTTTTATATGCTTAAGTAAAAACTGGCCTTTTTATTGTCTTTTAGCAGACAAAACTAAATATCTCATGTTCAGATTTCCTGGTCTATGCTTCTCTACAGCAAACAGTTGTCTGTTCATGGAAACTTGGGCTTAACAGACAATTTGAAGAGAACAAACAAAAATTTTCAGGATGTGGTTGTTACATTCATGTAGTTTTAAAAAGCATAACAATACAAGTAATCTAAAATATTCAGATTACATTACTCACTTTAAGTAATTTAATGGATTACGTTACAAACTACATTTTGGGGTATGTAATCTGTAATCTGTAGGGGAATACATTTTAAAAGTAACCTTCCCAACACTGGAGAGTACAATATACAGAGAAGTACTACACACAGAGGTTAAATAATTAAGCCCTTGAAGAATCTAATCTCGACTAAATCCTGATGAAAATCTCGTCTGCAGACACGTGATGAGGTTTAAAGTCACTTACTGTGGACGCGGGGGACAGCGTGGAGCGCACACGCAGTCGTGAGGAGGAGACGCCACAGAGACATGTTGCCGTGTGGAGAAGCAGCGCGCAATGGAGACGAGCGGCACAGGCGCAGCTCGGTTTGTTTGTCCACCCGCGGCAGCTCGTCCAGTACTGGTCTGCAAGTGAAAGTGAAACAAGTTCTTCCGGTGAGTCACCAGGGACGAGGGGAATTCCGGTCAGAGGGGGACTTCAAATGTGTCAGAAACGTGAAACAAGCAGAACCCGTGAAGCCCAGACACTAAACAGAGCACTCTGAGAACTCTAACACGTAAATGAATGTCCCAAGTTAGACATGGAGGAGTGCCACAGTGATTTTGTCCAAACTGTTCACCAAACCCAGTGGCAGAGTTAGCAATTTGGGGGCTCTAGACGAACTTGAGTTTGGGGCCCCTCACTATAATGCACCGTTATTTTTTTAAATTTGATTTGATTTTTTGTTTTAATATATTTATTGTCTCGGTATCCCAAGACTTTTTAAAATGAAAATGAAGACCAATACCGCTGCAGCTGATGTCATTGTTATTAAAAGCCCGTGTTGCTGCTGGGAAATATTTTGGTCGGAGGCAAGAAACACAGTAGCGTCAAACACAGTGCGTAACCTCGCGTATTTCTCCCTGATAATGGTAAATTCCTGCTGCATTATTGGATGCACAAATAGAAGCACGGATTACTCGTATTCTGAGTGAAAAGAACCGCTAACGGTGAATTAAACGGCTTTCAAACATTCGCAGAGCAAACTTAGAAGATCCTAACAAAGCGTGGACTCCAACAAGTTCAACAACACATCGAGACTCTTGGAGGTTTTCATCTTTTCTGCTGTGAATGGCCCAGGAGTTTCCACCAAGTCATTGTGGATATCGCCCAAGTGAATATTTGTCCAGGTAATTGGCGATTCTGACTAGAAATTCGGTTTGGTCCACCTTTTGTCGGGGTTGAAAAGGGTGATTTGGCTCCATCGATGCTTATGACCAATTTCTGGTCAAATGGTCTTGGGTCCTCTGCCGTTAGAGTGGATAAATAACCGGGATCAATACCCTTTACGTGCTTTCTCGCTCCGTCTGTCATGTTCAATTAGTGTTTCTTGCCGCCGACCAAAATAATTCTCAGCATGCAACGCTTTTGTCAACAATGAAACTCGCCTATACGGGGAAAAACACCAGACCCAATTTTAATAATGACCAACCAACTACGGTACTATATCTAGAATCTAAGAGCCACTGTGGATTAAACCTGCACTTCCCCATGATCCATCCAACGTCTTCTTCCACTCTGATTATTTACTCACTGCCGCCGTGCCAAAAACCAAAGTACTGTTTGCACATACTCCACATTAGACATTCATTCCTGTTACGTGAGTTCGCACTGCAGCCCCGGTTGAGTATACAAAAAATAGGCTACTGAAATTTAATACCTTTGTGAAAAAAAAAAAGACTTGGACAACAGAATTTAAGACTTTTTAAGGCGTTAATTTAGGAACATGAAATTTAAGACCTTTTTAAGACTCCTAAGACCCCGCAGCTACACTGTGTCTGTTTTTCCCTGTTGTTCTTGAGACATGCACATCTCTATTATTTGAATTACGGTGGATTGGAAACTTGTCTCATTAGTTTGGTCGCCTACTAAATAACCAGAACTTTGCTCATACAATTACATTTTTGTTTACATCCATTACATATGATTATTATTTTTCTCATCATTATTGTTTAAAAGTCAATTTAATTTAATGTCATATTGAGAGAATATCCAGGTTTGGGGGCCCTATGCAGCTGCCTACTTTTGCCTAACGGTAGCTCTGCCTCTGACCAAACCTGTTCTTTCAATTTGAGCGACTTCTTAACAGTACGCTACAATAACCAAGACACTGTTACTCCTGGAATGTTCCACTGTGCACACTTAAATCTTATCAAATAAATAGAGTCTATGACCAAACAGATCCAGATTTAGTTGCTGACATGTTATAATAACATTAAAATCCCAAAAATCCGTGTGAGACCACAGCGTGTCATTCAAGTGATTTATCGGACTTACTGTCATACAATTCCATGGAACAGTTTGGGCAATGCAATAAAATCTCCATGAAGACAGCAATTCACTCTACCAGAAAACTGACTCAGCACACTTCTTAAGCCAGGCCTTGTCCTGGTGCTCATAGTTCTGTGGACACTGTATCTGCCTGTGTGCCCATGATTCAGGCACCACTTCTCTGCAGTGGACCGGACCATGCCTCCAGTCTGTGCCTGCCCTCACTTGACCTTGGGCCCACAGGAAGTGACGCCAACTGACCCAGGCTCCAAGGATGTGAGACTGAGGCCTCTGTGCTGTGAGAGTTTCTGCTTCATGTGAAATACTAGTACATGTACGTATTAATTAAGAGAAATACATCTACTGTACCAAAATCATGACACATTGGTGCTGAATCTGACGTATCACTGCTTAAGAAAAGGAGAAGAGATGACATCATGGGAAAGTCCAGACTTTTTTTTATTTTGAGTTCATATTTGACCAAGATTTGACCTTTTAAGGAAGTGGCCATGTGCAGGTTTTATTTTTATGACAGGAAAATGATATGAAAGTCCCACTTCCCCCTTTCCAGTTTGATTATTAGAAATGATTTTAGTTTCAGAGAAAACATGGCTACATAAAAGCATTAGTTACAAACTTCACACTACACATAACATCGGAATTCTCTGTGTGAGTAACCAACAGAGTGTGTGTGTGTGTGTGTGTGTGTGTGTGTGTGTGTGTGTGATTCCAGGACTTAAGGAGGAAGTGCATGTTATGTAATGATAATTCCACAGTAGGCAGTGACCTACGCAATGCTGACATTGGCAAACATGTCTGCTTCCTTATTTCACAAGCATCACTGTGAGTGTATTTCTGTGCTGAGGCCGGATTAACAAAATGCAAGAGGAACTAAACACTAAAATATAAACTAAACTATTAACTGTTTTTGTTTCTAATTAGTTTGGCAGCTTTAGAGCAAACTAGGTCAATTTGTGGTCAAAAACTGAGTGTGGTCTGCCTCCAGAGGCTTCTGCAATTTCAAGTACTCCATGACATCACATAAGACTGCCCTGACGACACACACGTGTTTCTGATACGAACACCTGTTTGCAGGGGCGCAGTTTAAAGTGTGGATACCTGTTAGACCAGGCATGTCCAAACTATGGCCCGTGTGCCAAATGCGGCCCTCAGACACATTTTTCTTGGCCCTCAGGCTCCCAGGAGAATTGGCCCAAATTACCTTGCATCAATTAAAAAAATATATATATTTTTAAATCTACCTTGATAAAGCTAATATTTAATATTTAGTGTGTGGTTTTAAGGATCTTAGCATGAATAAAGTCTGATGGTTCATTCTAACGTGTTAAACATGCACAACTGCACATACGTCAATTATTCACTGTATTGAGCACCAGTCTACAGCCCTCGATCAGACCTCTGTTTCATCTGTGTTTAGATATGTGGCCCTTGATGAAAAGTTTGGACACCCCTGTGTTAGACCAATCACACACCTCCAGACCACATCCCTCCTCCCCCCTCACTCTCCCCTTTAGTCCTCTAGACCCCTCCTCCCCCTCACTCTCCCCTTTAGTCCTCCAGACCCCTCCTCCCCCTCACTCTCCCCTTTAGTCCTCCAGACCCCTCCTCCCCCTTACTCTCCCTTTAGTCCTCTAGACCCTCCTCCCCCTCACTCTCCCCTTTAGTCCTCCAGACCCTCCTCCCCCTCACTCTCCCCTTTAGTCCTCCAGACCCTCCTCCCCTTACTCTCCCTTTAGTCCTCCAGACCCTCCTCCCCCTCACTCTCCCCTTTAGTCCTCCAGACCCTCCTCCCCCTCACTCTCCCCTTTAGTCCCTCTAGATCCCTCCTCCCCCTCACTCTCCCCTTTAGTCCTCTAGATCCCTCCTCCGCACCACTCTCTCCTTTAGTCCTCCAGGTACTGTCCAGTTTAGCAGTTCATTTTGAAATGGGGTTGCAGGAGCAGTTTTATTGTCCAATAATCAGGAGGGGCACATTAGCATGCTAGTTGTCAGCATTACTGTCATGGCAAAACTCCGCTCTGGTCTCTGAGAGTTGTGAAAAACTGTTAAGAACTGTGACTCATCAGGACACTCTGAATGTATAAGATCAGTGAGGAAGAACTTTGGAGCACTGCAAACTGTTTGAAATGAACAAGTTCTGTTTGAGGTACTGAAGATACTGTGTGACCTCTAGCAGAAAGGTTCCACAGTGCTCCTTTATCTATGAGCCATGAGCCAACACTGTGATGCTGTGTTCATAGAGGCTACAGTGTTACACTCCACTGAAACAGTCTCAACAGGGTGGGCACCTCTGGCTCCAGGGTGGGCACTTCTGGCTCCAGAACTCCCATTATTTTCCCCCTGACACACAGCACACATTTAAACATCGGATGGAGTCTGATGGTCTACAGCAGGGGTGTCAAACTCATTTTGGTCCGGGGGCCGTATCCAACCTACTTTGATCTCAAAGGGGCCGGATCAGAAAACTCATGTCATATAAACCCCAAAAATAACAATAAGTTCAAATATTTGTGCAGAGAAACACTAATCTATTACAGAAATCGTTTTTAATTGATGAACTCTTTTTTATTATGATATTATGAACAACCTGAAACTTTAAGAAAAATTCAATTTCAACACAATGTTTTAACATGAACTTGTTTGTAAACAGGAATAAGTCAATTTTTCTTGGAAAATTCTGCACTTGGCTCCACTTTTCTCATTTTGGACATTTTTCTGATGAGGGTGTCACGGTCAACAGTCAAAACGATCGTCCTTTAAGAGCGTTTGGAAAGAGACAAGTCTTCATTTGTGCTGCTCTGGGGGGAGGGGCCACGTACAGAGACTCTGGAGACGCCGCTATGCTGAGCGGTGCAGAAAATTACCAATATTTTAATAGAAAATATAATTAAAATATTTTAGTAGAAAATCACCCAAGGGCCACATTAAAGGTCTCGGAGGGCCGGATCTGGCCCCCGGGCCTTATGTTTGACACCTGTGGTCTACAGGGTCAAGGCTGCACAAACATCTGAAACCTACTCCAGTTACTATGGAAGAGTACTTCCACTACAGTACTCTTACTTGAGTTCTATATTGTACAAAATAACAGTACTTTTGCTTGAGTAATATATTGCACAGCGTAACAATACTCTTTCTTGAGTAATATACTCTTGTTGCCTCATTAACACTTCCCTATCTCAGTTCACAGCACCTTTACACACACTCTGTCAGTCCTCTTTAAGTCCAGAGACCTCCCAAGTCCTGGTTTGACTCCAGGTCACATGATCTGGCCCCCCCACTCTCGATGGCCTCGGCAGTGTCCCCCTCACTCGGTGGTGGGTATGGCCTGGTGGCGGCGGCGACGGAACATGTAGACCACAAAGGCTACTGCAAATGCCAGCAGCACCAGCACTGTTACCACGGCGATGATGATGGGCACATAGTTGACTGGAGAGAAGGGACAAACAGAAGGTCAGGTTTCTCTGGGAGCTTGAGGCAGACAGACAAACTCTTACATGTTTGTGAGAGTGAGATTATGGTACAAGTCGATGTGTTCATTACAGACCATCAGCTCTAACCTCTGACCCTCGTGGATCATTATGTTTGAATTTGGACATTTTAAATCACAATATTGATCTAAAACGACTTAATAAAAGAAACAAATGTGCTGTGTTCTGTGTTAGAAAACTGTGGTCCAATGGGAGCTGACGTCACCGTAAATGTCATTACAACAAAGTGTTGGCAGATCACACTATTTTTACTTCCATCTGTACCAAAATGACTACATGACACTGCTGAATCCTACATGTGCCACTGATTAAGAAAATACAAGTGTAGTGGAAGTGTGTACATCACAGTGGGGGTGTAACAGTGAGAGTGAAAACATTAAGTTGATCGAAAAGAAGTGACTAAAGATTCCAGACATGCACGAATACCTCTACATTCAACTTCAGGTGAGTAAATGGTGGTGGGAAACAAATATAACATGGTTAAAAGCTTGGAAAAGTAGTTTTTGCAGAACAGGTGTGTTTTAACATGCTCTGTCCTCAGCTAATAACCAATATCAATAGAACCAATAATATTGACTCCATGAGGGCTGTTAACTGTGAGCACTTCCAGTACAGAGAATTCCTCTTGATGGCCAGGTTAGGAAAAGACTAACAGCCACAAGAGCGCTCTGGTCTACACCCTGTGAACCCTGTGAGGTCTTCAGCTGAGGTCTTCAGGTGCGGCAGGGGGCCTAAGCTCAGGACCTACTCATAAGCTGTGTGTCTGTTGTGTGTTTGTGCACGTGCTCTTTCAGACACAACTCCACACACTGTTTTGGAAATGAGACCAAGAAACAACAACATGACGTCTGTACACTTGTGATACTGACCGTGCACTGTGAGAGTGAAGCTCCTATTGACGGCCCCTAAAGCGTTGGAGGCGGTGCAGGTGTAGGGGCCCTCATGCTGGGAGGAGGCAGAGGGGATGGTGAGCACAGGGCCCCTGTAGTCGGAGCCTGAGGGGAGGCTCCAACTGTACAGAGGCGGGGGGTTCCCCTCAGCTCTGCAGACCAGCTCAGCTGACTGGCCCTGGTTCACAGTGAGGAGCTGTGGCTCCTCGGGGCCCTCACTGTACGGCGCATCTACACATAAGACAGTTATTATATTTACTGTGTACATTTGAGCTGTTAGCAGAGCCATAGGCTTCATGTGTCATAGAAATGTGTTAAAGATGATTCAAATAAACATGATCCCACTTTCCCCACGCACTCTCTCCAGTGAACACTCACAGTGCACGACAGCCGTGATGTTGTGTGACCTGACCACTGGAGGGGACTGTGGGCCCGCAGGTCCCAGCTCCAGTCTGGCCTCACACCAGAAGGTGGCCCCATGGTCCTCTCTGCTCACACTGTAGTCCAGACAGAAGCTCTCGCTCACTGGATGTTTCTCTGTTGTGTTGCTTCCTGTGACATTCAGCTCCCTGAAGTCCCTGTAAAAGGTCACCTTCATGTTCTGAGCAGGAGCCACGGCCTCCACCTCACACTGCAGACAGTACACCTGGCCCTCCTTCAGGAGCCCAGAGGGGCTCTCCAGCGAAGACCCTGAGCGATTTTTAAAGCTCACAGACACATTCTCTGGAGGCTCTGTAGAACAGAAGGCTTTAGTCTCTTACACATGTGTTACATCAGAACAATGAGAGGTACTCACTGTAAACGATCACATCCAGAGAAACAGTTGGACAGTCGCTGTCAAATATAAAACACAATATTATTTCACTCCACTTCAGTCTCAGACTGGAGATGTTCCAGACCATTTGGTTCCCTCTCTTGAAGCTGGACTGATAGGCCTCCTCCAAGCGGAGCTCATAGTCACAGGAGTTGTTGCAGATGGAGCATGTGGCTGTGGCGAAGTCTCCGCGCTTCACCACCAGTGGAGACGGACTGAACACAGGGAGCTCCTCACAGCCTGCACACAGAGAAGACATGAGGTCCTCCTCACAGTCTACAGAGAAGACATGAGGTCCTCCTCACAGTCTACAGAGAAGACATGAGGTCCTCCTCACAGTCTACAGAGAAGACATGAGGTCCTCCTCACAGTCTACAGAGAAGACATGAGGTCCTCCTCACAGTCTACAGAGAAGACATGAGGTCCTCCTCACAGTCTACAGAGAAGACATGAGGTCCTCCTCACAGAGCTGCACAGCACAAAACTAAAACTAAGGACACAAGCACAGAAAGTAAGTACTATACACAGAGAGTACTATACATAGAGAATATTATATACAGAAGTACTATACACACAGAGAGTACTATACATAGAGAATACTATATACAGAGGTACTATACACAAAGGCACCATACACAGAGATACTACCCTACTAGCATAAGGATCCGCAGCGGATCCGCTTTCGCTCCGCCAAATCCGCCCCACAGTCCGTCCGCTTTGCGGATCCGCTGCGTATTTGTTCCGTATTCACATTCTGACTGTTGCTAACCCTAACCCTTGGATGGCCTGCTGTTACAGAGAGAATCTGCGGTTAAATCATCTTAGATCCGCACTGTGAACGTACTTTTAACACAACACTTTGTTTTTGACACAATGATTTGTACTATCAATGCGCGGATCCGCGGCTAACCCGGTTCGGATTCGCTGCGCGGACGCGCCACTGACTCATCAGCCGTTATCAGAACCTGAGAGAAAGAAACAACATCCACCTGTTGTCCGTGGATTTCACTGTAAGTAATAGTTTAAAAGTTAATTGTATTAGTCATCATTAATGTACATAACGTTAACGTTATATTGTGGTGTGTTTACATGTGTGACTCTGTGTGTTTTATCAGTTTTGACGAGTGCAGTAGGAAAGTTAGCGACAGGAGCAGCTGACGTGATGAAGACGATGTGAGGTCAGGAGTCAGGATAACTCCATCTCTTGAGCTAGATCCCAGTCTAAATACTATTTTTATATAACGGTACTTATATTCTTGTATATTTTTACGATCACAGAATTGTAATTCTGCTCCGTGATCATTGGTCGTGTCTAACGGGCTCGGTTCTGGCTGGACGCCGCTCTCGGCGCTCTCCCTTCGTCTGTGGAGCGACGGTGACACCGGTGTCTGATCTGGTTGTGTTTTTAACCAGAGATAATTATTATTTGTGTAGACTAGAGTGTTGACTGTTGAGTTGAGACTAAAGTGCATCATGTCAGTGCCTTAATACAATAATTTAACGCAACGTGCCATAATACAATAACGTAACGTAATAAAAAGCACAACTTTTAACAGCTAACGTTAGATAACCAACCAAAACTTGTGTTGTTTTTCCCCAGATGACATCAGGAGCCCCTGTCCTTCTGCTGAGTGTCCCCATCAGGAGCCCCTGTCCTTCTGCTGAGTGTCCCCATCAGGAGCCCGGCACGCTGATCAGAAGTAAATACTTTTAATGATTTCTGTGACAGTGAAGATTTAGTTTGGAGTCAGATCTGACTTTGTCTCTTAACTTTCTGTTATGGGACTTGAGACGGTGCTTCAGACTTTCAGTGAGAGATGTTGACATGAACACTAATGTGTCACATCTATATTACACTGATATTGACTATGAACACCATCATAAATTGATTATTATATTTTAAATGTTGTGGTAAAAGTAAATGTAGTAGAGTATTGTGTATTAACAGCAGTGAAATACGTCTCATGTTCATACTCAGGCTTATACTAAAACAAAAGAGTTCAGTTTTACTGCGCTAAAGTATTTCCTATGAGTTAAATAATGTTTTTCATCTCTGTTTCAGAATATACTATGGTTAATAAGAAGATGGACATAACAGCATGATAAAGACCCTCTGGAGGTAAATACTGCACTTGGATTAAACACTGGGGCCTGAAATGATCCAAACTGATATTTGTGTTTCTCTTATTTGATGTTTTACAGAATTCCCTCTGCTGGGCCAAGTTCCAAAAATGTAGAGACAGACCCTGTGTAAGTTTACTGTATTATCCTACTTTTATTAACTTTCATAACTAAACATATGCACATTATAATCACACCTGTTGTTGTGCATATTGTTTCTTTCAGAACATGCTGTGGTGGAGTTTAAAGACTGAGCCTCTGTAAGTGCATAGATCTCTCCAATCAAGTGTTTACCTTTCATGTTCAAATCACACAGCCACTGTCATGACTTACAATGTTCTTCACAAACCTGAACTCTAACTCCTTACAAGAATAAGAGGTGTAATGGAGTGTTTAATACACACTGGTGTCATTTCAGATGCTGTGAGAAAGGGGAAGCCCAGAGCTGGACACTGACAGACTGGATCTTCACCAGTAGGACTGAAGAGGAGCCAGACTCACTACACCTCTGCCTCAAAACATCTGCCTCAGACTGAAGCTAAAGACAGAGGCTCTGAAGCTCCCACACTGCACACTCTATAAGAACAACCACCCGTCTAATTGTTCTGTGGTGGTAAACACAAGTTAAGTTTGAGTTTGAACAGTATGGTATGGCTACACTCTGTCTCATCTGTCCAGGCTTTTACTCATATAGCTTATATTTGTTTTTTGCCATTTAAAAAAAAACAAAAACTTTGCTTAACTTGAACTATTTTTAGTAAAAACTGTAAATTGTCATTTTCATATTAAGAATGAAGCATTGGTTAACTCGAAGGGTATATAAGTCCTATAACATTAATAATGATTATTCATGTCCTAAGATTTCTAATTAATGATTTAAATAAATATTGTTTACAATGTAAAAAAAAAAAAAAAAAAAAAAAAAGTTTCTTTTTTTCTTAACTAATGAGATTTAGTGATAGGATATCACTGATCCAACTTTGAAATTGTTTAAGTTTATGTTTTTAAATTTAAGCCTTTATATCCTAGTTTTAATACTTGCTGTAAAAGGTTTATGTACAATTACAATGCAAATGCTGCTGGTGTATTTAGGTCAGTAGGAAGTGGATCAGTATTAAATCTGAAGCATATTTAGGCTCCTAACGACACAATAAACAGATCCGCGGCAGATCCGCGGCAGATCCGCGGCAGATAACCCGGTTCTGAAAGCGGATCCAAAACGGGTCCTGGGCGGATCCGCGAGATACGCAGCGGATCAGCCGCGCCTCCGCCGCGGATCCGGGCTTATTTTGACGGATCCGCGGCGGAGGCGCGGCTGATCCGCTGCGTATCCGCGCGGCGGATCCGCGGCGATGTGCAAGTGAACTCCGATGCGGATCCGTTCTGCGGATCCGCCGCGAATCTCCGGGCGGATCCGCCGCGTATCCGCCGCGGATATTTTTTGCTATGTGGGTATACACAGAGAGTTCTATACACAAAGGTAGTTTACACAGAGATACTATAAGCAGAGAGTACTACACACAGAGAGTTCTATACACAAAGTGGACTTACTGTGGACGCGGGGGACAGTGTGGAGCGCACACGCAGCCGTGAGGAGGAGACGCCCCAGAGACATGTCGCCGTGTGGAGAAGCAGCGCGCAATGGAGACGAGCGGGACAGGCACGGTGCGGTTTGGTTGTCCTGTTTGTTTGGCAGCTCGTTCAGTACTGGTCTGCACCGAACCAGCGGCTACCGGGGATTGTTGAGCCAAACGGTCCTAAACATAGACCCTTGTATCGTTTTTTCTCTGTGGTTGCGCTAAACCGTTACAGGTGTAATGTGCTTTTGGCCAGAGGCGGCGCAGAGAAGCTACAACCCGGTGAGCTGCTTCCGCGATAATGTCTTTAATTTCCGCATGTTTCGTGGTTTTACAGTTTGATAACTCTCATATTTGCTGGTGTTTAAAACTGGCCTTTGATAAGTTTGAACGGTAACTTTAATGTTACGATACGATGTGTAAAAGTGAGTTTGTAGTAGCAATAGCTAATAAACATTGGGAACTACATATCCCATTATTCATTTCAGCGCAGACAACATAAAGTTTTATGTTTTTTGCTTGAATTCTTGTTTATTATGACAGTAATAATTCACACCAAAATCTTGTCAGAAAAAAAATCGTCCTGTCTACAATTATATCAGCCTCAGCCTCCAAAATATCATGCTAATATCGTACCAAGAGATTTGGATATCGTTACATCCCTAGTAAAAGTGTATTTGTAGCTAAGGTGACTGCTGCTCTCTGTTTCGTTCACCGTGATTGTTAGTTTGGAGTCATCTTTATTACTTTACCCCTCGTAAGTCAGACTTGCTCTTTCATTTACCATGCACAGTAACGATATATGTGTAATATTACGCGAGGAGTGATTAATTTGCTCGTAAAAACTGTACAGTGTTCATTCTGTTGTTGTGATCATTCATTGTACTCCTCTAGTTGGATTGGAATAATGAAATAACATCATAACTAGGTTAAAACGCACTATACTATATGTATATATTTGTACAGTGTTGTTGTGTGGACTATAGCACACTGGAGTGCTGCAAGCTTGTACATTTCAGTTTCAAGTTGATATGCAATATTATAAGTATGTGTTCATGTTTTTGTCACATATTCATTCTTCTTTGAGTAACTAGAGAATTCTGTTTCGCACAAATCATTATTTAGTCCTACAGGTTACTTTTTGTGGTATCTAAAAATGTTATTACTCACATTTGGTATTCTGTGAGTTTTATTAAAGGGTACCTGATTTGTCCTTTAAAAATTCTTTCTGCAAATATGTAGCTGTGCTGATACTAAAAGCTTGGCCATATAAATACATTATAAAACTGATACAGTGACAGTGAAATGAATACTAAAGTAGTGATCTAGGTACATGTAGTATGAATTCAACTGAGGGGTATAAATGTAATGTTTCTAAACACACTCGTCTGTCGTTGTCGAGAAAATGATAAACATTGTTTATTTTTTTATATATATATTTCCTGCTGCAGGACACTTCTGAGGAGGCCAAGAGGATCAAGGACAATCTGTCCCTGAGGGACTGGAGTGCCCCTGTGAAGGAAGAGACTGTGAGAGGAGGAGCTGCCTCTGACCAAGCTGAAGTCCTGGAGAGGCACATCCACCAGTTTGGGAAATACAATGTGATGAGGGCTACACTTTGTACCTCATCCAGAGCCAGCAGAAAGAGGAGGCTGCAGAAGATAGTTGATAGTTGCGTAGCAATGACAGCCTAAGTCCTTCCTACACTATGCCCTGAGCTTCCAGGAGATCACCTTTCTTCTCCAGTGTGAGGCACAAACGCTCATGCCCACTCCAGCAGCAAAGGACGAGCAGCTGGTGAGATCTGGTGCCCATTCCAGAAGTACCTGGAGGGAGGTCTGGGAGAGCAGGGATCCTGGCTCTGCAACCTTCATCCTCAAAAAGGAAGTGTGGGGACACTGGCAGCTCTCTCCCTGTGTCCCCTCCACATGTGTCCCCTCCTCTGCTCCTGCTGAACCCGTGGGTGAGTTAATATGACACACAACTGTGTGTATTACGTGTTGATTCTTTTCAAATGAATGTAGCATAAATATACTTCATAACTGAGGGAACATTAAGTGTCAACATTTACATGATCAGTCTCAAACTATGTCAATGACAAATGCTGTCCTTTTCTTTTAGCAGAATATGAGGAGGAGGCACTGGAGGCACTCAACATCTCCCCATCCAAGGAGCATGTGGATATGTGTAAGTTGTATCTATTATGTGTTAGCTTTGTCTTTGTTGTACTTTGTGTTAAAGGTGTAATTCTTTTTTTTACTGCCCTGTCTGCATCAGTACCAGCCACTGCTGATCTCTGCCAGTCCTCAGGTTGATAGAGAAGTTCACTGATGTCGTACCCTGAAGGACATTCACTTTCAATGTCTCAGCCTCAGCTAAAGTCAGATAAAAAATCTGTACCTTTCCCAATATATAGTGTTAGGATAAATAATTAGGCTTAGCTATTATGTATAATCACTTCTATAGTTCATTATTGTATCAAGGTCATTTGAAGATAAGGGCTCTGATCAAAGCCGTGACAATCATATGTCAAGACAAATGCAGGATATTCCAATCTATCTAATAGCAAACTAACTAAAGAGAGCAAGAACTACTGATATGGATGATGTCAAGACTTGGTAGCCAGATAACACCCCGGATGGAGTCTGATTGGACTGTGCAACGTGCCAAGAAGCCTGGCTCATGTGCACCAACGAAGAGGTGCTAAGTCTAAAGAGCACCTCCCACTATAGTTGGTGTATAAAAGTCATTGTATAGGCGTAAACATGGAGTCTCTGCATGGGAATGGTTGTTTTCCTCAACAATAGATTTAGTTTTTTGTTTTCAAATATTGATGTATTATATTTTATTTGTTTATACCCAGGACCCACATCTCAGCATTGTCTTCTCTGTCTAGTGTCCGGACTGGACCATTGAAGACGGGAGGAAGGGAGGAAGTGTTAGACCAGTGGCACTGGCCCGCCCCAGTGAACACTGCTTACCAAACATCTGGGACAGAAGGACATGCTCAAGCTTGTGGATCAGCAGCAAATGATTAAACACATCATCCTTATATATCATCCTCAACCAGCCCAGAAAAGCTGGAGCAAACACTTTGGCAGTCTCTCACAGCGAGCAGTAGAACCTCCACCGTGCCTGCAGTCACTATGCCACCTGCACTGAACACTCCAAGATCAAACTATGTTCTCTTTTGAAATCATACTATGTTGACTTTTCAAGCCCTCCCGGGTCCGTATTATTGATGGTAACTAGACTTCTCCTGCATAAGACATCCAGTTGGTCTCCAGCCTTTTACTTCCACCCTTTCTTGGACAAGCTGAAAACTTCGACAACAAGTGCTGTAAGATATTTCTACTGCTCCACCAAGTTCTTCAAAGCTCAAGGATGCCCTTAAAGGACTTTGTGGCCACAAAGTTCTTCCAGAAGCAGACATAGGAGTCACACTGTACAATATATTACTCAAATGAGAATACTGTTACACTGTACAGTATATTACTCAAGTAAGAGTACTGTCTGTCCGTTAAAGTATTGTCTGAAAAGTGTAACTACAGTTCTTCATTACATTTACCCATTACATTTTAAAAATGTAAATGTTACTTTATACCATGACCTCTGGAGTAAAGTTGAATGTAAATACTTGTAATTACACACACCGTGGGGCTGACATCACTGATCTGTTTTATGTTTATCCTGTAAAAAGTATATGTGAATATATATGTAAATATGAGTAATGTCTGGCAAATAAATTGTGTCTGAACTGTTTATATTTTGTTTTTCATTTTTAACTGTCATTAAATATTGTTTAAATGATTTGTGTATTTTCTGTCCTGCATTATTTTAGATTCAGGAACACAATATTTGATCAAACTTTACTAGCACAGGTCTTCACTGACATTTTTAACCTGTCACTGGAACAAGCAGTCATTCCAGTGTGTTTAAAATCTGCCACCATCATCCCAGTCCCAAAAAGGGAACTCACAACCAACCTTAATAACTTCTGCCCCGTAGCACTTACCCCAATCATCACCAAGTGCTTTGAGAAACTGGTTCTGAGCCCCCCCCCATGTGATTTTCTAAATAATGCAAGCTCTATACCACAGGTGTCAAACATACGGCCTGGGGGCCAGATCCGGCCCTCCAAGACCTTTAATCTGGCCCTCGGCTGATTTTCTACTAAAATATTTAAATTTTCTATTAAAATCTTGTTAATTTTCTGCTGTGTTTATCACAGCAGCGTCTCCAGCGTTTCTGTATGTGGCCCCTCCCACCAGAGCAGCACAAATGAAGACTTGCCTCTTTCCAAACGCTCTTAAAGGACGATCGTTTTGACTGTTGACCGTGACCCCCTCATCAGAAAAATGTCCAACATGAGAAAAGTGGAGCCGAGTGCAGGATTTTGCAAGAAAAATGGACTTGTTCCCGTTTACATACAAGTTAATGTTAAAACATTGTGTTGAAATTGCATTTTTTTTTTTTAAGTTTCAGGTTGTTCATAATATTATAATATTTTGTAAAAGAAAGAATTCATCAATTAAAAAAAGATTTCTGTAATAGATTTGTGTTTCTCTACACAAATATTTGAAGGTATTGTTATTTTGGGGGTTTATATGCCATGAGTTTTCTAGCCGTTTTGGGATCAAAGTCGGTTGGATATGACCCTCGGACCAAAATGAGTTTGACACCCCTGCTCTATACTTTAAATTAATACTTAATTTGGCCTTTTTAAATGTACAAACAGTGATAGCTAATTTAAACATTTGATAAAATCTTTTTGTTTTGTTTTGTTTTTGTTCACTGCAATTTTGCTTCTTTTGGGTTTGACTCCAGGTCTGGGGCAATTATTTTATGAACGAGCACTAATCTCTGCATTCTGATGTCTGTGCTTCATCACAGCAGCACATGACTGACATTCTCATTCTGATTCTGGCTGATTCTCTGTGCCCACAATACACGACTGGTCACTCTGAGTTGGTTTAAAGCTGTGACTGTGTTGGTTCTGATCTATGTTCTAATGTTGTTTCCTCATCACAAACAGACCTGGAGGTGAGCTCTTCTTTCAAACTGAAAAACTCCACACACCTTCACTAGAATCATTTGGATGATTCCAGTCCTGGAACTGTAATTCTCTATTGAACTAAATAAAAGGTATCCAATCCGATCCACTTTATTTCTACAACACATTTCACAAACAAACAGTTTCCAAAGTGCTGCACAAATACAGAATAATAACAACAATAATAAAAAGATCAAATAAACACTCAGGTTTAATCATACTAGTCTTAAAATAATAAAACTAGTAAAATAAAATAAAAGCAAAATCATAGAATAGCAATAAATAAAAATAAAACCAATAAAATATTTTACAAATAAATAAAAGACACAGAGGAGCACACAACTCACACGGTGTTAAAAGCCAGAGAATAAAAGTGGGTTTTAAGAGGTAGCTGCTAACATGAAAACCATCACTTCATGACATCACAAGTTAGAACAGAGCATTTTGAGCGTTGGAGATGTAGATAAAGTAAGAATAAAGAGTTACTCAGACATGTGACTGAAACAAGACATAAGTCCAGGTGTGTTTTGGAGGGAACAGCACCATGTCTCTCAAGAGTCACTTTTGTCTAATATAGAGCTTTAAAATGATGTTTCTTGCAGCGCTCCCTCAGATCTGATCTCGTTTATTTAGTTGGTTGGAATCACCAGAAACTCCAGAAGAGACTGCTGCTGCATCCTCAGTAATGACATCATGGCTCATGTTACCTCATGCCGGGGTTTTGTGTTCTTTCAGTTTCTCTGTGACTCACCAGAGACGGGGAACTTCTGTCACGTCTAACCTCAGCTGATGCCACTTTTGTAAGGTTCATCTTGTTTTTTTGTATGATACTTCTGACAAGGAAAAGAACAAAACAAACGCTTTCACAATGTGGCAAAAAGAATTCAAGTAGGTCTGCATGCTTTTACTTTTACTGTTGCATAACAATCACCAGTGTTGGGAAGGTGACTTTTAAAATGTATTCCCCTACCACTGTTGGGCAAGTTACTTTGAAACTGTAATGCGTTATTTATTACCTATTACTGTCATTTCAAAGTAATTCGTTACATTACAATATTACTGCATTTAAAATGTAAGGCATTACATTACTATTGCATTACTTTAAGTTACTTTCACCAAAATAACTTTTGTATATGGACTGAACCAGGACTGAACCAGGTCTAAACCAGGACTAAACCAGAACTGACCCAAGTCTAAACCAGGTCTAAACCAAAACTGACCCAGGTCTAAACCAGGTCTAAACCAGAACTGACCCAGGTCTAAACCAGGTCTAAACCAAAACTGACCCAGGTCTAAACCAGGTCTAAACCAGAACTGACCCAGGTCTAAACCAGGTCTAAACCAAAACTGACCCAGGTCTAAACCAGGTCTAAACCAGAACTGACCCAGGTCTAAACCAGGTCTAAACCAAAACTGACCCAGGTCTAAACCAGGTCTAAACCAGAACTGACCCAGGTCTAAACCAGGTCTAAACAGCGTGGAGTTCTTTGTCAGTCCTTCCTTTTTACCTGAAGGTCTATTGAGGGCAGATTACATACCCCAAAATATAGTTTGTAACGTAATCCATTAAATTACTGTGAGTAACGTAATCTGAATACTTTGGATTACTTGATATTGTCATGTTTTTGAAAACTACATGAATGTACCAACCACATCCTGAAAATTCTTGTTCTTGTTCTTCAAATTGTCTGTTGAGTCCAAGTCTCCATGAACAGACTTTTTGTTTTACTGTAGGGAAGTTTTGTTTTATCGGCTAAAAGAAAATCAAAAGTCCAGACTTTACTTAAACATATTAAAAATATTATTGATAGAGAAATGATTTTTATATGAGTTCACTGCTGCTTTAAAAATATGTTCACCTACTGTTAGTGTCATACAGTTTAGACCTGGTTTAGACCTGGTTTTAGTTCTGGTTGTAATTCTGGTTTTAGTCCTGGTTTAGACCTGGTTTAGCCCAAAATGTGAAAACAGGAAAATACCGCCTTGTAATCCATTTATTTCAACAAAGTAACTGTAATCCAATTACCACTCACTGAAACAGTAACTGTAACTGAATACAGTTACTCATAATTTGTACTCTGATTACGTAACCCCGGTACATGTAATCTGTTACTCCCCAACACAGACAATGACACACAAATGATCAGTTATGAGTATCGGTTGAAATTTCCATGACCATGAATCCTCTTATTTTCTTTTTAATCAGACAATGTTTACGTGAGATGTTTTTATTTTCATTTCATTTTCATTTTAAACTTTGGAAAACTCTCCCCCCTCACATTAAGAGCCCCTCTTTGGTTGATAACTTTAAGTGTCACTTAAAAACACAGTTTTACTCACTTTTTATTAACTTGCTTATTTATTTTATGCTTTATTTTATTTAATGTGTTAATTCATATTGTGCTGTACAAATAAAGTTGGATTGGATTCATGATATAGTTGTCATGACAGGCCTAAACACACATGAAACACCCTTCTCCAAGGACCACCGGGCTTCAGGAGGCGTCCTACAGGAAGTAACAACAGCTGATGTTCAACACTTCACCACCGACAGGGACAGTCATGAGGAGACTCACAGCAGCAGCTCAAACATGTGTTAATAAATCACACTTAAAACATGTAAGATTGAAAATAACATAAGAAAATAACTCATCTGTTATGCTACAGAGGGAGAGGAGGCTTCACCCACATGTACTACAGTAAGAGCAGGTCTACTGTTACTTCAAAATAACAAGACTCAAGTAGAAATATAGTAATACTCTGAGTGCTTACCACTCATTTAAAGGTTTTGTGGAAACTACTACTTGAGGATCAGCTCTTCCAAGTCCGAGGCCATGGTTCTTGGTGAAAAAGGTGGCTTGCCCTCTCCGGGTGGGTGGAGAGTCTTTGCCAAGTGGAGGAGTTCAAGTATCTCGGGGTCTTGTTCACGAGTGAGGGGAGGATGGAGCGTGAGATTGACAGGCGGATCGGTGCAGCATCGGAAGTGATGCGGTCTCTGTATCGGACAGTTGTGGTGAAGAGGGAGCTGAGCCGAAAGGCGAAGCTCTCGATTTACCGGTCAGTCTTCTTTCCTACTCTCACCTATGGTCATGAGCTCTGGGTAGTGACCGAAAGGACAAGATCACAGATACAAGCGCTCGAAATGAGTTTCCTCCGCAGGGTGGGTGGGCGCTCCCTTAGAGATAGGGTGAGGAGCTCAATCACACGGGAGGAGCTCGGAGTAGAGCCGCTGCTCCTCCACGTCGAGAGGAGCCAGTTGAGGTGGCTCAGGCATCTGTTCCGGATGCCTCCTGGGCTCCTCCCTCGGGAGGTGTTTCGGGCATGTCCCCGGGAGGAGGCCCCGGGGAAGACCCAGGACACGCTGGAGGGACTATGTCTCTGGGCTGGTCTGGGAACGTCTCGAGGAGCAAAATACTAAGGTAACACTGTGTACTTTTCTGAGGTTACGTGTCACCTGCATGATTCCATGGAAACAGCACATTAACAACTTAACAGTTTGGAACACGGTCCATGCCGTTTGATGTTTTATTCCATACTGTAAAAGATTGTAGCCAAAAGAACATTTCCATGGAAACAAGACCAAGGAACAGTCAGGTTTATGGAGATGCAAGCCCCTTCAGAGTAAACACATATGTTTTGTATTTTTTTCAGTGCAACAAAAACATCCAAAATCAGGCTGGTTTCATGAACTCTTTATTCTCCTGTGAGTGAGTGACACACTGAATGTGGGACAAGTACATTTGAAAACATCTGAAATATCATGAACAATGAAGACGTGCTGGGTACCAGTTTTAGACCTGGTTTAGTCACAGCATAGCCTTGATATACATCATTTTGACATGATTTGTTCCTGTTTCAGACTGTTCTGTTCTAGTGCCGTATCAGACCAGGTTTAGTTCTAGTTTAGCCCTGGTTTATTCTCGTCATTTAGTCCTAGTTTAGTCCAGGTCCTGTTGAGATTGTAGTTGTACTTCGAGCAAAACAAAGAATAAAAAAACAAAACAAACAGATTCATAAAATATCTATAATGACGAGGGCTTCTGTGCACTGTGACAACCAATCCTTAAGGTGCATATGACAGACTGGACAGTTAACTTAAGACCCCTTAAGCTCAATGGCCCACCCATGGGCCCAGATCCCACCCAGATCCCACCCACTGCCACTGCCATAAAAAATCTGATAAGAGCAACTCCAATATGCCGTATATCTACAGTATGTATTCAGAGGAAACTCAGCAGAACAGCCAGATCTGTCATTTTCACATTAAATGAACACAGCTCAATTTAAGAGCAAATATGTCCCCAAATGTCACAACCTAACTGCATTGTTTAATAATAGACTTTTAAACTAAGCTTTTGCAAAAAACAATTCTAATGTATGTGTACATATGAAAGTTATATAGCAATGTAAAACATAAAATCACCTGCATCCATCAATACCATACATGTTTATCTCCAAATATAACCAAACCAGAAGTCAAAAAGTGCAGCCAGAATAGGCAAAATTATATATTAAAAAAAAAATCCCCTTTGCTGTTTTTACATTAAAACTTGTTTCTCCAGACTTAAAACTCAATGTTTTGTCTAAACCAGGCATGTAAATAATGACCACAGTCTGAGGTACTCTCATATTGTTTTCAGCTTGTGGCCCCGCCCAACCCCCCGTGGCTCCTCCCAGCTCCCGTGGCCTCGCCCCATCGCCCTCATATGTGGCTTGCTGGCGGCCATTTTGTTGTGTTAGCATTAGCATCATTGCCATGTACCATGCAAATGTACAAAAACAATCCAACAAAACCAGAGAAAGAAGAGAGTGCCTATATGTCACTCTACCAGCAGAAAGTGGAAATTATGAACATTTGAGAATTAACAATATTACAATATCATTCATTAATTATTATTATTTTATTTTATAGATTTTTTGGGGGGTCATATTGAGACTATAATTATCTGAAAATGTTTTATTTACTGTCCTTGTGTATCATAATTTGCTTTTAATCATTGCATTTATAGAGCGCCTTTCAAGACACCTGACACTCTACAGATCAGATTCATTCAATCCACACTTTGTGGTAGCGAGCTACCACTGTAGCCACAGCTGTCCTGGGGCAGTCTGACGGAAGCTAGGCTGCCAATCTGTGCCATCGGCCTCTCCCTTTTATCTCTTTTATCTCCCTTTTATCTCAATAAATGATTTGCCAATTGGCACATGGGTAGCAGAGGGGCACCATATTGGCTTTTCCTACTAAAAACAGTGTCAAATGTGTATTTGGCAAATCATTTATTGAGATGACTACATGTTGTTTTTACAATTCCTTGGTGTCCCAGAAGGTATATGTATTTTTTTTTTTTTTTTTTTTTTTTTTTTTTAAGTTTAAGACTATTTTCAGTTTAATTTTATATTTTTTGTCCAGTGAAAATGAAAGGGTTGTGTTTGAGCCAAGTGTACTTATTGGTCATGTTATATGATGTCATTATTCAACTCCAGACAGAAAGCATCAAGTCTTAGCTTCATTTAGACACCGAGAAGATCATCCATGTGGGCTATGTACATGATGAGAAAACCTTCAGTATATCTGTACTTCTCCTCTCCCGAGGATGTGTCCCAACAAAGACTTTGGGCTTAACAGATTTATGTTTTGTTTTGTTTTGTTGTTTTTTTTTTTCAAATTTTCCTACTTTGACAATTTGGTGTTTTTTACTTCCTGGATAGACATCTGCGATATACTAAAAATTGTTGAAAAATCACAACACCTTTTTTGTTAAATGGACAGACAGAAATGTGGTCCTTGTGTGTAAACTGTCTGTGCATTTACTATCACTACTGCTAACTACAAGCCTACTACAACAACGAGCTACTTCCTAATTTGAATTGATGAACTTTTTCCTTTTTTCATTCCTTCACTGTTCCCCCCATCTCTCCTGCAGCTCCGCAGAGAGCCGGAGGTTCAGAGCAGGGAGACGACCCTCCAGCACACCCAGACAAAGATGGAGGTGCAGAGGCTGTGGTGGAGGAAGGATGATTCTCCTGCACAGTTCTTTTCTGTAGGTTTTACACTGGGCACTGGTTCAGCTGTAGCTGCTGTTGTCTCTGGTATCACTGTTGTCTTCTGCGGTACCACCGATGTTGATGCGCTCATCGTGCAAACATATGGTGTTGCTGTGGTCGTGGTAGGGGCCGCTGGTGCTGCTGTTGTCGTCACATCTGAGACAAACAAAATACTTCAAATATATTGTTACATCTCACTTGAATGGATGAGGGCTGTTGGTATGTTGTAATGCTGTTCCCCTGAACAAACCTCTGTAAAGATCATCACCTGGGGATGATCGATGGGCTGCACTGCGGTGGTTCTCTGTTCCTGACAGGTTCCTTCTGGCTGTTACGTGACTGTGTAACAAACCGAGTACCACTAGAGAATGATTTTCACACTGTGGTGCATTATTTACTCTCTGACTTGTACCATGTAATGTCATGTACAGTGTGTGGCTCTGACTGTGATATCAAGCACATTCTACTGTTGTGTCCCTGAACTTTCCAGTCACAGAATGTGGCAGAAGAGCCAAATGTGTTCAATCAGATGAGATTAAATCAGTGTACGATAGCCGTGATGTTCTGTGACCTGACCACTGGAGGGGGCTGTGAGCCCTCAGGTCCCAGCTCTAGTCTGGCCTCACACCAGAAGGTGGCCCCATGGTCCTCAGGTCAGGTTTCTCTGGGAGCTTGAGGCAGTCAGACAAACTCTTACATGTTTGTAACAAGCCGATGTGTTCATTAAAGAACATCACCTCTAACCTCTGACCCTCGTGGAAATTGGACATTTTAAATCACAATATTGATCTAAAACAACTTAATAAAAGAAACAAATGTGCTGTGTTCTGTGTTAGAAAACTGTGGTCCAATGGGAGCTGACGTCACCGTAAATGTCATTACAACAAAGTGCTGGTACATCACACTAGAGCAGAGCATTTTTACTTCCATCTGTACCAAAATGACTACATGACACTGCTGAATCCTACATGTGCCACTGATTAAGAAAATAAAAGTGTAGTGGGTGTGCACCAGTGAGGGTGAGACCAAGAAACAACAACATGACGTCTGTACACTTGTGATACTGACCGTGCACTGTGAGAGTGAAGCTCCTATTGACGGCCCCTAAAGCGTTGGAGGCGGTGCAGGTGTAGGGGCCCTCATGCTGGGAGGAGGCAGAGGGGATGTTGAGCACAGGGCCCCTGTAGTCGGAGCCTGAGGGGAGGCTCCAACTGTACAGAGGCGGGGGGTTCCCCTCAGCTCTGCAGACCAGCTCAGCTGACTGGCCCTGGTTCACAGTGAGGAGCTGTGGCTCCTCGGGGCCCTCACTGTACGGCGCATCTACACATAAGACAGTTATTATATTTACTGTGTACATTTGAGCTGTTAGCAGAGCCATAGGCTTCATGTGTCATAGAAATGTGTTAAAGATGATTCAAATAAACATGATCCCACTTTCCCCACGCACTCTCTCCAGTGAACACTCACAGTGCACGACAGCCGTGATGTTGTGTGACCTGACCACTGGAGGGGACTGTGGACCCGCAGGTCCCAGCTCCAGTCTGGCCTCACACCAGAAGGTGGCCCCATGGTCCTCTTTGCTCACACTGTAGTCCAGACAGAAGCTCTCGCTCACTGGATGTTTCTCTGTTTTGCTGCTTCTCATGACAAGCAGCTCCCTGAAGTCCCTGTAAAAGGTCACCGTCATGTTCTGAGCAGGAGCCACGGCCTCCACCTCACACTGCAGACAGTACACCTGGCCCTCCTTCAGGGGCCCAGAGGGGCTCTCCAGCGAAGACCCTGAGCGATTTTTAAAGCTCGCAGACACATTCTCTGGAGGCTCTGTAGAACAGAAAGCTTTAGTCTCTTACACATGTGTTACATCAGAACAATGAGAGGTACTCACTGTAAACGATCACATCCAGAGAAACAGGTGTACAGTTTCTGTCAAATATATAACACAATATATTGACACTCCACGGCAGTCTCAGACTGGAGATGTTCCAGACCATTTGGTTCCCTCTCTCGAAGCTGGACTGATAGGCCTCCTCCAAGCGGAGCTCATAGTCACAGGAGTTGTTGCAGATGGAGCATGTGGCTGTGGCGAAGTCTCCGCGCTTCACCACCAGTGGAGACGGACTGAACACAGGGAGCTCCTCACAGCCTGCACACAGAGAAGACATGAGGTCCTCCTCACAGTCTACAGAAGACATGAGGTCCTCCTCACAGTCTACAGAGAAGACAACAGGATCATCATCTCTGTCACAGCTGAAGGATTCCAAACCTCATGATCCCTCACTATGTTCTCATCTGATATAAATGTTCATTAGCTCTCATGTGCGTGCTTTTAAAGGAACTGGCTGACCGCTCAGTGGAGGAGCTGCAAGGCTAGACATGTATCTGTACTCACTTAATCCTATTGGTTCCCATTGGAACATAAGTGCAGCCCCATCTGCTCCAGCCCTGAGCTGTCATGTTGTTTTTGGTTGGCCCTCCTTCCCTTTCTGGGTGGAGTCCATTTAAGTGCTACTGGAGATACAGTCCTGGTCTGTAGCCAAAAGCCAGTGAGACACTGTCTCCTGCACCACGCTCTGGCTTCTTGTTTCTGAGGTCCTTAATGGAGATTTGTTGGTCTTGAACAGCACACCAGCATTTGGAAGCAGACAGCAAGACTGGTTTCACAATGCTTCAATACCAATACCTGTGGGGCGGCAGTAGCTCAGTTGGTAGAGCATTCGCCCACTGATCTGGTTTGAATCCAGCTCTCGACATAAACATCACAGGTTGAGCGGTCAGATCCACTGACCCACAGGTTGCTGGTGTGATTCTGGCTCCCACAGATGAATGCTGTTGTTGTGTCCTTGGGCAAGACACTTAACCCACCTTACCCACAGTGTCTGCGTACACTGGTGTGTGAATGTGTGTGTGAATGGGTGAGTGGTTCCTTGTTGTAAAGTGCTTTGAGTGCCTTGAAGGTGGAAAAGTGCTATAGAAAAATGTGACCATTTATCATTTACCATTTAGCCTTATCTTCAGGTTCCTGTACTGTCTAAATTTCCAGACCCACTAGGTTAATTCTTCATCCTAGTCAAGTTCATGTACACAAAGACAATATCAGTAAGTCACTTAAAGGCAACAGTGGCTTTGTGATCCAAGCACTTTCACCTCACTCAGACTGCACCCAGTCCAGCTGTGAGTCCAGTGTGGGACCAGTCTGTTGTGGTGTGGCACTCACACGAGGACTGGAGCTCTGCTGTGCAGTTGTGTGCAGAAAGATTTATTAAGGGAAAAGGTTGTGGTGGCTCTGGCAACTGGCGTACAGAATCCAAACACTGGCAGATTCCCTGGGAAACTGTAGCTACATCATAGACTATGTAAAGAAGTGGACGAAGTGAGTGTGGCGTCACCCATAACGTCCAGCTCCAGTCAGAAGGGACTGCATATCCACAGGACAATTTATCCATTGAATAATGTCTCACTGTACAATCACCATTATTCACTCATTTAGAAGAATTTGGGCTCATTTCAACAAGCATATATCTTCTATCAAATAAGGAAGAGAAGGAATTGACTGGAAACACTGACATTTTTATATTAAATAGAGTTAAATATATAATATTTAACACAAATATCATACGCCTAATATCATAGTGTGAATTTCCTATTATAATATAGTGATATTTTAAATATACAGCGACTTTCTGAACAAAGTTACAAAGAAAATGATAATGATAAAATCAAATATTAAATCCAAACTATTCAATCATCCAATGTAGGGATTCTGACTCAGATCTAACACACACATGTCAGTGCTTACAGGTTTAAGTGATCTTTTTCACAACTGCCAGAAGTGTAACGATGTAGGGTAAATGGAACTCCCGGTGAATACTTTTCTAGAGCAAAATATCTGTGGAAATGTCTGGCGTATTCTCCACCAGCTCATAAATCTGTCCCATCACCAAATCTTCATCCTACAACGTCCACAAAGGACCTTGTGTTGACCCGACATCGCGGCACTTCTGGCTGTTGTGAAAAAGGTCTAATGGTCAAAACAGACAATAAAACAAAACACTTTTAAAATGTGACTTGTTGCTAAACTTTTGCCTCGGGAGCTCAAATCGACGGGACACTGGAAGCTCCTGCACAAGAACTTCTTATTTGGAACATGGTGTAGCTGTGTCCTTTATATATTCAGTCCATGAGCTACTAGAGTTACCAACTTCCTCAACCCCAAATGAGTGTCCCTCATTTGGGGTGTGTGCCTGTGCACGTTGAACAGTAACAGAAATCACAAGGTTTCATTGGCCAGATGATAATCCTACTCATTTCAGTATCATTTTGGTAAAGTATTACAGTACTTGCTTGGATGTATTGTGTTTAAGTAATAGTCAAAACAAGTTTTTCTTAAATCTCATGTTTTCTTGAAACAGTATTAATGCTCTATGGTTCTTACAGTCGCCTCAAGGATCCTTCAGAATGAGTCAAGCACCTCTGCTGTTATTAAAGACCAAAAATACTTCATCAAAATATTGACTGTGAAGGCCAGGACTGAACCGGGATTAGACTAGGACTAAACCAGGACTAAACCAGGACTGAACCAGGACTAGACTAGGACTAAACCAGGACTGAACCAGGACTGGACTAGGACTAAACCAGGACTACACTATCCAATCCAATTCAATCCATTTTATTTCTACAGCACATTTCACAAACAAAGTGCTGCATAAATACATAATAATAACAACAATAATAAAATGATCAAATAAACTACAAAAATAATACTAGTCTTAAAGTAATAAAACCAGTAAAATCAAATAAGAACAAAATCATAGAAAATAAATAAATAAATCAATAAATACATTAAATCAATAAAACACATAAAAATAAAGAAAGAGTCTTCCATGTGTAGACTAGGACTGAACTAGGACTATACCAGGTCTAAACCAGGACCGAACCTGTGTCATTAGCGAATTATAAATATATCCAAAGTCAAATGCAAAGGCGTCCAAATGAAGGTGTCCAGGGCGTTTTTTGACGCCGCAGTCTGAACACACCTTGATGCTGTGACTGAAATATGAGACTGGAGCTGTCTCATCCGAGACAAATCAAATTCACCCAAAATTTGGGATGTCCCAGGTAATTCGGGACAGTTGGCAACCCTGTTTATTTCTTTCTTTCATTTATTCAATATTTTACCAGTTAAGTTATTTGAGAACACTTCTCATTTATAATGATGACCTGACTAAGAAGCAGATTAAAACAGAAGCACAGACACACACTCACACACCAACCATAACATGAAACAGAGACTAGAGACATGAGACAGTGAAACATTTGCAGATCAAAGATATAAAAGTGTTAAAAACATGTGCAATGATATTGTCAAATACTCTGGATGGAGTTTTTAAAAGTCGACAGAGGTAAAAATGAGTTAGGTTTTAAAGTCTGTTGAAGGAGGTTCCAGTCACTGCTGCAGAACTGAAATGAGGAGCAGCCCAAAGCTGCGGCTTTAGAACCACCAGGGTCATGTGTGTGTTGGAGCACAGTGTGAGTCTGGAGCCGTGGATGTGCAGGACTGAGCTGAGGGAGGACGGAGTTTGACCAAAAATGAACAATAAGCAGTGGGTTTGTGTGCGGGTTTGTCCTGTGAGCTCCATATATGAGCTACATACATAATGTGCCAACTCCAGGTGTGGAGTGAACACGTAAAGATAAAGAGTACAGCACTTTGAGACGACTGTCCAGCTTGTAAACCTGGTAAGGCTGTTAAGAGTTTATTTATAGGCCTAACTATTTCTCATTATGTAACTGTGTGTTTCTGTTTTGATCCTGACCTCTCACTGGTGTCATGTACATGTCTGCTGCCCTGCCCTCTGTCCCAGACGTGAACTGTGCGACTCACCTCTCTGAGCACGGACGTCCAGAGCGCCCAAGAGGAGGCACCAGAGGAAGAGCCCGGCCACACACATCCTCCCGCCGCTTAAACCAGCGTGAAGATCCATGACAGCTGCTGCAGTCCTGGTGCAGTTCTGCTCTAATCCCAGTGTAGTCCAGGCGTAGTCTCAGTGTAGTCCCTGTGTAGTCCAGGCGTAGTCCCAGTGTAGTCCCTGTGTAGTCCCGGTGTAGCCCAGGTGTAGTCTTGGTGTAGTCCTGGTGTAATCTCAGTGTAGTTGTGGTGTAGTCCCAGTGTAGTCCCAGTGTAACCCCGGTGTAGTCCCAGTGTAGTCCAGGTGTAGTCCCAGTGTAGTCCCAGTGTAGCCCCGGTGTAGTCTTGGTGTAGTCCTGGTGTAATCTCAGTGTAGTTGTGGTGTAGTCCCAGTGTAGTCCCAGTGTAACCCCGGTGTAGTCCCAGTGTAGTCCAGGTGTAGTCCCAGTGTAGTCCCAGTGTAGCCCCGGTGTAGTCTTGGTGTAGTCCTGGTGTAATCTCAGTGTAGTTGTGGTGTAGTCCCAGTGTAGTCCAGGTTTAGTCCCAGTGTAGTCCCAGTGTAGTCCCAGTGTAGTCCAGGTGTAGTCCCAGTGTAGTCCCAGTGTAGCCCCGGTGTAGGTCTGCAGCACAGTCCAGCGCTGCTCTGAGCTCCTCCAGGACTCTGACACAATATGAAAGCTCTGAGGCATTTCCTAAGGTTGGGGAGGAAGTCCTGTCAGCGTCGGAGAGCCTGCAGCACACACACACTTTAATTTTTCCTCCAGATTACGGGAAACATGGAAAAGTACTCCGGAGAAGTACAGACTGATGTGTCCACACTAGAGTTTGCAAAATGAAATCACACTTGTATCTGTGGTTTTTGTGATGTGAGCACGTTCAACAACTGCAGACGCATCTTTTCAGTTTCATTTGAACCAATAAAGCAGAGTAAGTGCGTGGTAGTAGGATGGTGCAGCCCAAACTTAACATAAACACAAAGAGAGCGGGGGCTGCGTACTGAGACAGAGCAGGTCCAGAGGAAATGCCCAGCGCCAGAAGACTTGAATACCAGCCACGTTTATTTAATTGTATGGGAGGAGGCATGCTTTCATACTTACGCCCACACGCACTTTTATACTTTGGCTAACACAGTTAAAATAAAATAAATGATAATTATAGTTTGTATTTTCTTTTTTATTATTATTAAATGCTTGAATTTTCTTGTCTTAAATTAATATATATTTACACTACTGTTCAAAAGTTTGGGGTCATTTAGAAATTTCCTTATTTTGGAAAGAAAAGCACTGTTTTTTTCAATGAAGATAACTTTAAACTAATCAGAAATACACTCTATACATTACTAATGTGGTAAATGACTATTCTAGCTGCAAATGTCTGTTTTTTGGGGGCAATATCCACATAGGTGTATAGAGGCCCATTTCCAGCAACTGTCACTCCAGTGTTCTAATGGTACAATGTGTTTGCTCATTGTGTCAGAAGGCTAAAGGATGATTAGAAAACCCTTGTGCAATCATGTTAGGACAGCTGAAAACAGTTTAGCTGGTTAGAAAAGTCAGTTTTATAAAACTGACTTTCCTTTGATTGGGTTGAGTATCTGGAGCATCATTCACATTTGTGGGGTCATTAAACGCTCAAAATGGCCAGAAAAAGAAAACTGTGATGTGAAACTCCACAGTCTATTCTTGTTCTCAGAAATTACCAAGAAACTGAAGATGTGTGAACAGTGTGCACTACTCCCTTCCTAGAACAGCACAAACAGGCTCTAACCAGAGTAGAAAGAGAAGAGGGAGGCCCCGCTGCACAACTGAGCAGAAAGATAAGTACATTTAGAGTCTATAGTTTGAGAAATAGACGCCTCACAGGTCCTCAACTGGCAGCTTCATTAAATAGTACCTGCAAAATGCCAGTGTCAACATCTACAGTGAAGAGGCGACTCAGAAGAAAAAGCCATATCTGAGACTGGCCAATAAAAGAAAAAGATTAATATTGGGAAAAGAACACAGACATTGGACAGAGGAAGATTGGAAAAAAGTGTTATGGACGGACAGTGTTGGGGAGTAACAGATTACATGTACCAGAGTTACGTAATTGGAGTACAAATTATGAGTAACTGTATTCAGTTACAGTTACTGTTTCAGTGAGTGGTAATTGGATTACAGTTACTTTGCTGAAATAAATGGATTACACGGCGGGATTTTCCTGTTTTCACATTTTGGGGTATTCCCTTTTTTTTTTTTTTCCAGTAATTCCACTCATTGCCGGACACTAAACCAGGACAAACCAGGTCTAACCCAGGACTAAACCAGGACTAAAGTAGGACTAAAACCAGGTCTAAACCAGGTCTAAACCAGGTCTAAACCAGGACTAAACCAGGACTAAAGTAGGACTAAAACCAGGTCTAAACCAGGTCTAAACCAGGTCTAAACCAGGTCTAAACCAGGACTAAACCAGGACTAAAGTAGGACTAAAACCAGGTCTAAACCAGGTCTAAACCAGGACTAAACCAGGACTAAAGTAGGACTAAAACCAGGTCTAAACCAGGACTAAAGTAGGACTAAAACCAGGTCTAAACCAGGTCTAAACCAGGACTAAAACCAGGACTAAAGTAGGACTAAAACCAGGTCTAAAGTAGGACTAAAACCAGGTCTAAACCAGGTCTAAACCAGGACTAAACCAGGACTAAATTAGGACTAAAACCAGGTCTAAACCAGGACTAAAGTAGGACTAAAACCAGGTCTAAACCAGGTCTAAACCAGGACTAAAACCAGGTCTAAACCAGGACTAAAGTAGGACTAAAAACCAGGTCTAAACCAGGTCTAAACCAGGTCTAAAACAGGACTAAACCAGGACTAAAACCAGGACTAAACCAGGACTAAACCAGGACTAAATCATGCTGCATGGACCATGTCTCTTCGTCTTCTATCAATAATAATCAATTAGTCTGGGCTTTTTTTTATTGTCTTTTAGACAAAACATCGTATGTGAAGATTTCCTCGTCTTTGCTTCTCTACAGCAAATCAAGTAATCCAAAGTATTCAGATTACATTACTCACTTTAAGTAATTTAATGGATTATGTTACAAACTACATTTTGGGGGATGTAATCTGTAATCTGTAATACATTTTAAAAGTAAACTTCCCAACACTGTGGACGGACAAATCAAAGTTTGAGGTGTTTGGATCACACAGAAACAAACATGGTGGGGGTAACATGATGGTCTTTGCTTTGGTGCTGTTAAAGTGGGAGATTTGTTCAGGGTAAAAGGGGATTTTGAATAAGGAAGGCTATCACTCCATTTTGCAACGCCATGCCATATCCTGTGGACAGTGCTTGACTGGAGCCAATTTCATCCTACAACAGGACAATGACCTAAAGCTCACCTCCAAATTGTGCAAGAACTATTTAAAGCAGAAGCAGGCAGCTGGTGTTCTATCTGTAATGAAGTGGCCAGTGCAGTCACCAGATCTAAACCCCATTGAGCTGTTGTGGGTGCAGCTTGACCGTACGGTACACAAGAAGTGCCCATCCAGCCAATCCAACTTGTGGGATGGGCTTCTAGAAGCATGGGGAGAAATCTCTCCAGATGACCTCAACAAATAAACAGCTAGAATGCCAAAGGTCTGCAATGCTGAAAATGCTGCAAATGGAGGATTCTTTGACGAAAGCAAAGTTTGATGGAAAAAAATTATTATTTCAAATACAAATCATTATTTCTAACCTTGTCAAAGTCTTGACTATATTTTCTATTCATTTTACAACTCATGGTGGTAAATAAGTTTGACTTTTCATGGAAAACACAAAATTGTCTGGGTGACCCCAAACTTTTCAACAGTAGTGTATATGTATATTTTTAAATCAAGAAATTATGAACTGAACTAGGTCACAGAGCAGGGCTTTTCAAATTGGTTCTGGTTTAGTCCCGGTTTAGACCCGGTTTAGTCCTGTTTTAGACCAGGTTTAGTCCTGGTTTTAATTCTGATTTAAGTCCTGGTTAAGTCCTGGTTTAGACCTGGTTTAGTCCTGGTTTTAGTCCTGGTTTTAGTCCTGGTTTAGTCCTGGTTTAAACCTGGTTTTAATCCTGGTTTTAGTTCTGATTTAAGTCCTGGTTTAGACCTGGTTTTAGTCCTGGTTTTAGTCCTGGTTTAGTCCTGGTTTAGTCCTGGTTTTAGTCCTTGTTTAGACCTGGTTTTAATCCCATTTTTAGTTCTAATTTAAGTCCTGGTTTAGACCTGCTTTTAGTCCTGGTTTAGACCTGGTGTAGACCTGGTTTAGTCCTGACTTTAGTCCTGGTTTAGTCCTGCACATGTCACTGGTGTTGGGTACAGTGAACTTAACAAACCAGCTCCTCCACAGAGGTTTTCCAGAGCACAGGATGTTTCTGTAAGAGAGCACTTTCATTCACGAGTGATTACAACATGTACTAATGGATGTTTACTGGTGTGATGACTGATGTGGTTAGATGTGCCAGTGAGGATCCAGGCCTCCTGCTCCTGTTTCAAGGGCCTGTATGACACTGTTTTCTGATCTGTTCTAATGTCATTTCCTCATCACAAACAGACCTGGAGTTGTGTTTTGATTCAGTCACACATGTTTATCACACAAACCCTGCACATTTAGGCTGAGTTCTTCTCCGAAAGGGAAAACTATAGCTTGATGACATTTTCAGTTTTGGAGATGCAGACAGACTAATAATGCAGAGTTACTCAAACAAACATGTGAATGAAACAAACCACAACTCCAGCTCTGTTTTTGAGGAATTAAGAGCATTATTACATGGTCTAAAACTCAAGACTCAATTTTGCATAATAAAGGATGTTTAACTAAGATCACTGATAAACAAATTACAATAGAAATGAACACAAACTTGGAGTTTTGTTACAGATATTCATCAGAAACATGCCTGGAGCTTTGGATAATGACTGAAATGCCAAGATGACGGATATAAATGGTTAAAATGAGTTTCCTCCACAGGGTGACTGGGAGCTCTCGTAGAGACAGAGTGGGGGTCTCAGTCACACAGGAAGAGCTCGGTGGAGAGCTGCTGCTCCTCCTCGTGGAGAGAAGCAGCTGAGGGGGATAACTGTTGCAGACGCCTCCGGGACGTGTTCCTGCGGAGGTGATCATGTCCCACAGGGGAAGACCCAGCCCAGGACACGCTGGACGGATGTCTCTGGACTGATCTGGGAATGCCCCAGGATCCTCTTGGAAGAGCTGGAGGAAGTGTCCATGGAGAGAGAGGGAAGTCTGGGTCTCCCGGCTCAGACTGCCGTCTCTGTGACCTGGACCTAGATAAAGTGGAAGAAAAAGGCTGAATAAACACAAATTTCCACAGAATCATATCTAGAGTTGTTTCATTTGTGCAAGTTACTTTCCAGACTGTTGATCCCACAGCATGATGCCATGAAAAGCTCTACATTTATGATGTCCACTCACTCTCACCACACTCATTAACTCACTAATGACTAATTGAATCAATAATCACATATTATTATTATTATTATTATTATTATTATGCTTCCGTTTTATACTCAAAGACACTTTACAGATCATTATTCATTCACTTCAGATCTGGTGGTGCTAAACTACTATTGTCCTGGGGCAGACTGACAGAAGCGAGGCTGCCAATCTGCACCATCAGCCCCTCTGACCATCACACACACCCACACACACACACACGCACACACACACACACACAACTTTCAAACTAGACAACGAGGGTGAAGTGTCTTGTCTAAAGACACAACAGTCTTTGTGACTGGCGCCCTCCTGTGGCTACTGATTTTCCCAGTGTCTCCATCCAAATACTAACCAGGCCCAGCCCTGCTGAGCTTCTGAGATCTGACAGGATCAGGCTTTGCCAAACCGGTGTGTCCACAAATGACTCACTAATCATGGTCCACTTTGATGCTGGTGAAGCGTCTGTTTGAACCTTCATATGATCGTTTATCTTGGCCCTGTTTCACAAAACAGGTTGAACAAAGGTTTTCAGCTCAGAGTTTCTCATTTCAGAAAACAGGTTTGGAGCAGTGTAGAGCACTCACAGTTTGGTCACTTTTAGCGGTTTAGTTCAGCTGAGGAGAAAAGTCATGATCAATGGATTCCACAAACTATTCACCAGGAGGCTTCCCTTTTACAGGAACAGGAAATGTGTGGTCCTGTATTATGTAAAATTGACTCTTGTGAGCTTTTAGCCATGTTAAGACTGTTCCCTCCTCAAAAACAGAGCTGGAGTTGTGTTTTGTTTCATTCACAAATGTTTGAGTAACTCTACATTATTAGTCTGTCTACATCTCCAACGCTCAAAGTGCTCTGTTTTAACTTTAGTTCAGTAGAGATCGGTAGTTCCAGGGCTGAAATCATCCAAATGATTCTAGTGAAGGTGTGTGGAGTTTAAAAACGCAGTGGAGCACTTCCTCTATTATTATTAGAGTGTTTTCTGTTTAAGAGAAGAACAAATAATGTTTGAAAGAATAATTTGCATACATTAAAACACATTATTATAATAGTTCTCTCAGGGGTGACCTCTCTTCAGGGTGAAGGGAAAAATAGAGATAATCAGACAGAACTGGAGATCTACTATAAACAAATAAAAAACTTAAATATATTTTATTTATTTACACAAAAACAAAACACTTCCTTCTTCTCTAGTCATTTAAAAAAAAATCCCCTAAAAAGAAAAACTGAGTAGGCCGTGGTCAAATGAAATCTTGTACTTCCCCGGCTCGTTTGGACGCAGTCAATAACAACTATTAAGTCGAGCTGTATGTGTGGGGGGCGGGCGTCCAGCTTGTTATGGAAACACAGAGGACAATGTTTTGGAGGTGTGGACCCTAATGACTTCCGTAGTCTTCAGTGTAGTTTGTGTGTTGTGTTTAGTCTGTTTCTCTATCACAGCCTTAATGCAGGTGGTCCAAACATCAATATAAATGTTGTGTGCATTTCAGCGGAACTAAAAAAACAGCTTTTCTGGTGTAGAGGTCTGCTGCCTGCTTGTCGCCATGAAGATTTGATGTTTTTATTGTTTAAAAAAAAAACAACAACAACAATATGTGTTCTGTACTGTGAGCAGGCTTGCTTCTCCACAGATCTGACCTGTAACTTGGTAAGAAAAGTTTAAACAATAAGACCAGCAGATGTTTACAGGTCCTATATTACACTAAACAGACTCTTGTGAGCTTTAAAGGTTGTATAGAGGATTTTTTTTAATAAATGTTGTGCATGCGTGACACCACCTTCCTCCTCCACAGCTCCACAAATAGAAACAACATCTCCTCCCGCCTCTTTACTCCAGAAATCAAGTTTGTTTACAACCAGTGCATGTTCAGAATTACTGTTGAAGTGACCTGTCTAGAAATAATTTAGCGACCGATGCATCAGTTTTTAGACTCTTCGTCTGCTTCATTCACGCAATCGCTAGAAGGGATCTCCAAGAATCACCTCAGTTTGTCTTCGCTCCTTTTCTTCTTCTCTTCTTCTTCTTTCAGCGACCTCAAATACAGACTTTCTTTTGCGGCGAACTGGTCGTGGATTCAACAAACTTTGTGCGAATTGCGAGGAAGCTACAGTTTGAAAAAGCCTCTAAGAACCGCTGCATAAACCACGTAATCCCCGCGCACCGACGAGTCACTTACACTAGAAACTTAGGGAGTTTGATTGACAACCCAACAGCCAATAGATAAAGAGGGAGCCTCGTTTTCTATTGGCTGATGTTTATCTGGCCTCACTACGTCCACAGTTGATAGATTTTCATTATTTTATTATTATTATTTTTTTGGTCATCATAATTACAAAGCTGCTGCGTCTCTGTCTTGGTATTTTAAACTTTCATTGACAATTTGAAAATAAAAAATAAAAATCCTCCATACAATCTTTATGACGTGTTAAAATGTTCCCTCCGCAGAAACAGACCTGGAGTTGTCTTTTGTTTCATTCAGACATATTTGAGTAACACATTATTAGTCTGTCTACATCTCCAAAGCTCAAAATGATCTGTTCCACCCTGTGATGTCATGAAGCGGTAATTTTCAAGTGAACGGCTCCTTTTAGTTCAGAAGAGATCAGGGAATTTCAGGTCTAAAATCATCCAAGTGATTCTAGTGAAGGTGTATGGAGTTTAAAAACACAGTGAAGTGCCTCCTGTATCACCACGACATCACAAGGTGGAACAGAGTGTTTTTTGAGAGAAATCTCAACCTAAATCTGCAGGTTTGTGTGTTAAATGTGTGAATGAAACAAAGCAAAACACAACTCCAGGTGTGTTTGTGATAAGGACAGAACAGAAAACAGTGTAATATGAGCCCTTTATGTCATAGAGCAATAACATCTCCATGGAAACAAGCTGCTATCAGACCCCCACAAGAAAAGTTACGTAATGAAACTTTAAAATGATCTCAAGGGCATTTTAGGATTATTGCTTCTGTCTTTCCAACTTGTCGTAAAGTCATCTTCCAACACTGTCTCTGAACTATGGTCAGTCGAACTACGAACAACACCGTGACAGAAGCACAGTCCGTCAGGGTCCGCCAGGTGCTGTCAGGGGGTGTAGGAGTTCCAGTGGCGCTCGTGAGGCAGCACCCGGCTAAGGCGCAGCACGCAGCTGACGGTGGGCTCGTAGTACACCTCGTCGGGCCGCTCCCCTCCGGACCCGCGGGACGACGAGGAGAGCCCGGTCTCGGTCTTAGGAGGGGGGCCAGGGCGTGAGAACAGAGAGGCTTTGGGGCGTTTCACCAGAGTCTTCCTCTTGACGCAGCCCAGGTCGACGAGGGCCTGCGCAGACACAAGGCAATCCAACTCTGGTTAATTAAATGAGCATTAAAGGGTTCAAAGTTCTAGTGAGGCAGGAAATAACAACATCTTGATATTCTTTGCTTCTAGGGATACAAAAATACTTCAGAGGCTCAATGCAACCCTCACAATAACACAATCAGAGACTAAATATATCTGTGCTTCCAAACAAGAAGTGAGCATGGGCACGATTCTGTTTCTCTCTGTAACTGCTGCTTTTAATCTGCGTGAAGTTGTCGCCCCGTCAAACGCACACCTACACAAAAAACTACGTCTATCGTTTGTGCTTCGTTTGTGCTGCAAAAAGTTACATTTGTTTTGCTTTAGTTTTGGAGATATTAATAAATCTTTTATAGGTCAAACTGTGGTCTGCCAGCCCCCAGGAAGCTCCATAACGCTCTAAAACACCACAAAAGTTGTCAATGGTTTGTGGTTTGTGTGCTGGTTTGTGCTGCAAAAAGTTTGGTTTGTGTGATTATGATTACTGATTATGATTATTATCAAAACAGCAGAAAATTATATGAAATGTTTGTATTTTGTTTGTGCGGTTTTGTGCAGTGACATTTTACATTTGTGCGAGTATATTTCAAAAATGATTAATTATTATTTTTGCAGAAATGACATGACATAATTTCCTCTCAGCTCACTGCAGCCGCTTTAACAAAACTCCATAAAACTAGTGAAGAGAAATGATCTGAGGCTGTGGAAAAGTCTGTATTATTATTTAAAATATGAATCAAAAGCACGTTCCTAAAGACTGATACAGACTTCTCAACAGCCTCAGATCGTTTCTCTTCACTGGTTTTGTAGAGGTTTGCTGAAGCCGCTGCCGTCAGCTGAGAGGAAATGACATCATATAATTTCTGCAAAAATGATACGAATAATTTTGCACAAAGAAATACAAATGTTCTGTATAATTTTCTGCTGTTTTGAAGGTGCTTAACATTTTGAGGAGCTGGACGACGTCATCGGCCAAAAATAAAACTGCTAAAATCTTAAGAATCATAATCGCACAAACCAAAGTTTTTGCAGCAAAAAACAGCACAAACGAAGCACAAAAGACTGACACCATTTTGGGCGTTTTACAGCATTTTGAAGCTTCCTGGAGGCTGGTGACCCTAATTTAACCTATTAAAGAATCATTAATATCTTCAAAACTAAAACAGCACAAATGAAACTTTTTGCAGCCCAAAACAGCACAAATGAAGCACAAATGATTAATATAGTTTTTAGGTGTGCATTTGATGAGGGGCCTGATTTACACCTCTGTGTGCTCTGAGGTCTGAGGTCCAGCTCCAGCTTGTGGGGCCTAAGATGAGACTTAAAACCAGGAGGACAGGATCTTTTCTGTGACTGGCCCCAAAACTTTGGAACGCTCTGCACTCCCCATGTTCCAACAGCCCCACAGTGGAGTGTTTCTCATCTTGTCTTAAAACCCACTTTTACTTTCTGGCTTTTAAGATCACATGAGTTGTGTGGTCCTCTGTGTATTGTATTTTATTGTGTTTTATTGTGTTTTATTGCATTGTATTTAATTATTTATGTATTTATAATTTTTTTTTTATCATTTTTAGTTTTATGCATTTTAACACTTTTTATTTATCGTTTTTATTTATGATTTATTGTGTTTTATTGTATTAATTTGTCTGTGCAGCAATTTGGAAACTGTCATGTTTATAAAATGTGCTGTAGAAATAAAGTGGACTGGATTGTTTTTATCTATTGCATTATATTGAGTATGTTGGTCGATTATTGCATCAGTCAGTATCACGATATTGATCCTTGTGTGTTATATGATGCAGCCTGAGTTCAGACAAACCCAGTATATGTGAATGGCATTAGGTGAGTGACAGAGCGTGTGCGAGTGCACCTGCAGCAGCTCCAGGGTGGCCAGCGGCTGCAGCACGGCTCTGTAGTGCAGGAGCAGGGCCTCCAGAGTGACCCCGGGCACAGACATGATGTGGTAGAGCAGGGCCTCCAGCATCCCCTTACACACCAGCCGGTTCAGCTTCCCGTCCACCAACCTCCAGGGACGGGCCACGAAGCTCACGCTCTCCCCGGGACTGTCTCTGCGCGTACACACACACACACACATTTAACACTACAGCAGAGAGAGCTAGACAAGTTAGACACATTTAAATAGTTACTTCCTCCTCCCACAGAGTGAAAATCAGGCCTTTTAAAATGATGACAGGGCACTGATTCTGAAAAATTAGCTGGATCGGATATCGGCTTGCAAATATCAGTTCAGTCTAAAGCTGGGTATCACTAAGAAGTTGTCGATACGATACATACCTCGATACACTGAGCTTTTGATACGATATATTGCAAACTGACACTAAAAGTCTTAAAGTGTTAAACCACTTCTGATGCGAAATTCAAACATTTTAATCCTCAAAACTGAAAATGTCAAATGTGTCGCATAAACGAGTTTCCTCTAAACAAACAACAAAAAATGTAGCTCTGTAACAAAATCATTTAGTAAAATATACCAAAAAATACTCTTGGCGATGTATCGATACAGCAGCCCATGATATTGATACTGTATCATTACATTTAACAATACGATATATGGATATTTTGATATTTTTGCACTAGTTCAGCCAATATGCAGTTTGACGTAAACTACTGGGTGTAGATGACCCAGAAAGTCTCAGAATTAGGGCTAGGTATCATTAAGAAGTTGCCGATACGATACATACCTCGATACATAGGCCACAATATGACACATATCTTGATACGGTGAGCTTTCGGTTCGATACGATATATTTCAAATCGATTCAATACAATTCAATAAAAAATAAAGGTTAAATCATGTCTGTGACACTAAAAGTCTTTGTTAAACCACTTCTTGTGCAAAGATCACATGAAACACAAACATCTGAATCCTCAAAACAGTGAAAATGTCAAATGTGTCACATAAACGAGTTTCCTTCCACTAAACAAACAACAAAACTGTAGCTGTAACAAAATAATGCAGTAAAATATACCAAAAAATACTCTCGGCGATATATCGATACAGCAGTAACTGATATCGATACTGTATCATCATATTAAACAATACGATATAACGATATTTCAATAGTTTTGCACAGCCCTACTCAGAATGTTTGAAGTTTTTTTTGTTCTGTAGTTATTTGAGTTATTTGCATCTGAACTGAAAAAGCTGGATAAGCAATAACAACACAAAAGACTTATAACAGCTTGTTAAGACAAACAGCAGCATTTCTTACCACAATATCACAACTGTGTTTGGATCATGAGGAGAATACTATGATATACCATCTACTCGGTCCTGTGAGGTCTGGATACAGCTCCTAAGCCAGACCTGAACAAGCTCCCAGTACCACCTGAACTACTGCGTCTACACTAATGGGACAATAATGATATAAGTGTCATCATTGGAAGAGAATTTAAGTCATTTATCTTCCATGTACATCTCTCAGTTTAACACTGACTCACAGGAGCTGTAGTAACACCATCATCTTCCCTTGGCACACCATTCTCTAACTAAACTATGGCCTTCATAGTCTCACCACACTTGCTTTATAAACCTCCTCCTTTCTAAACCTCAGTATTTTAGCTGCATTATCATTTTTATGTGATGAACAGGTTCCATATTTAAACCACTGTTATAGTATTGTACTTTGACCTAGAAGAGATCATCCTGGATGAGGACACTGCACATTCTGGTGATCTAAAGGCCATTATCTCTTGGCGATTCTCACAGTTCTATAAAACGATGATTATTATGTGTAAACAGTGTTATTGTTTATTGTACATCAGGTCAGTTCTTACTCGGGAGCGCAGCATGGACTGGTACAGCGGCTGGGCACACGTGACCTCCCTGCTCTGTCATCTCTCTTCTCACTGCCCTCCTCTGATCCAGTCTCCTCTTTGTCCTCTTCTGCTCCTGTCTTCTCTCTCTCCTCCTGTGGCTCTGCATTCATCTCCTGTCCCTCTGTTTCTTCAGGTTGCGGGTTTCTCCCCTCCTCTGCTTCCACCAGCTCCAGCTGCTCCTCTGGAGCTGTGCTCACCTGTAGTGAGGGACATCACAGGGTCAAAGCTTTGCAGGTATGTTCTTTTGTTTTTACTTGTACAGGATTATAATTATTGGAGCATGTGGCGGGGCTCTATCAAAAACTTAGGCAAGATCGAGATTCTGAGTGCAGGTGGTTTATTGTGCCAGTGTCCAAAGTGCAAAAATCCCCAAAACAGTGCAGAATATTTACAGTGAGCAAAACAATCCAAAAAGTATTTACAACGAAGAAACAGGGTCGAGTTCAACGTTAACTGTCCCCTTTAAGAATCTGTACAGCACACCGACGTTACCTGCTCTGTACCCGGTGGCAGACTGATTAACAGCCAGGAACAGCTCCCCTTTATACTCCCCTGACTCCTCCCACTGAGCAATATATCAAAATCATTCTAAAGACAAACAATTTAACCATAAACCTACCTTGTCTATGCTACGTTGAGCACACAGTAATAATGTACATTACATGTCAAAAATAATAGCTGAAAAACGTAAAGAAAATCGTATTACATAATGCGCGTCACATGGTCAGCACCACGGCGCGAACAGCGCCTATTTCAACTACCAGGAAATAGGGGCTCGGTTTGGCAGAGGCGCCGCGTCGGAGGAGAGAGAGACGGCGTCATCGGACAGGTAAGAGACAAGTATGAAATAAATTATTCTAACGCGCTCAAGTGTGCAGCCTTGGTGAATTAGTAACGGAGGAAAGAGGGGGAGAAGGCGGTAATAGTGAATACGGCGTGAATGAATGAAACAGCGGGGAAACGGGGAATGAACTCGTGTGTGCGGGATGACTCAGCGTGTGTGCGCGCGGGCACGCCAGTGCAGACCGCAGTTACGTGTAGGGGGGAAACGCCACCTAAAATCATAGACGGACTGGCTCCGTCACAGAGCATAAATGATTCTAATGGACTCATATTATGTAAACCTTTCCTGAACTTTTAATAATGTTATAATGATTTGATCTTATCATTTGATTACTAAGAGTTGAGTGTGAGTGAGAGTGCTTGATTGGTCAGAACGTACAGTGTCTGTTTTCACCCTGTCTCCACCAACTGATTTACTGGATATTTACTTGATTATTCAGAAAAATCAGAGTATGAATGCATTTTAGTTTTTATTGTTTCTGTGAAGAGGCGGGGCCTGTATGTTCTGCAGTTTTTAACAGGAAGTCAATAAACCTGTTTATTGATTTTATTATTAAGCCGTTCTACATCAGTGTTGCTATTGGAGATTTTCTAGGAGGACTGTAAACATGCACAGGGACACTTCATCCCAACAATACTCCGGTCAGAGACTAAATTAGTACACAGGAACATGTTCTGGAACTTTAATGCCCTGACTTCAGTCTCTTTAGCTGTTAGTTTGACATTTACAATGAACAAAATATAAAAGCTCAAATAAAGTACACAGTTTACATGTGATAGTTTGTTACTAACTAGAGATCGATATGTTTTTTTGTTTTTTTTTCATGGCTGATGCCTATACTGGGTGTTTAGGGTCCAGAGGAACTGAACAATATTTTTGGGCCGATATGTGGAGCCGATTTTGATCATTTCCCCCAAACTCTTTCATTTAAATTCAGTACAAACTCATCCACAGCAAAGTTTTTTCTACAAACTGAATAAGAGCTGTGTAATCACATGTTATGTATATTCTTTACACAGCAAGTCAGCTTAAATTAAATACTGACCTCTGCTGGAGATTTGAGGCCGATAGTCGATGCTCTCAAAGTGTGAATATCAGTCAACCGAAATATCTCAAATACTAACCAAAAAGAATTAAATGTCTTCTTTAAGTCATATATCTTACGATTCTCAGTGATATCTACTAGTATAGTCACAATCCGCACCTTCTCTACATGACTCGTCTCCTCCTCTGCTCCCTTCAGCTGCTTCTCTGGTCTCCCCGCTCCTTCACTTGTCCCCTCTCCTCCGTCCTTGCAGGTGTCCAGGGCTGGTCTCTTGGCTGCGGTCTCCTCCGTGCTGTCCCTGGTCGCGGAGCGTTTCTTCCTCATGAAGGGGATGTCGTGCTTGGTGTCGGAGAAGCTCAGGTCTTCGGGGGGCGTGCGACTCCACTGGCCCATGTTGGGGGTGATGAGCCAGGGCTGCGCGTGCTGACGGAGCACCCAGCGAGCTCCATAGGCCCCCACCAGCAGCAACTGGCCCTCCTGCTGGAGGTCCTGGGGCGACATGGGAGAGGAGGTTAGAAAAGATGGAATATAAAGCACGATTAAGCCACGATGTTAAGTTTCATTCAAGTTTTTCTTAATTATATATCTTAATCCACACTTAAAGAGGGTGTAACTGTAACTGCTAACACAAAATGTATTGACATCAGCATGTTACCTTTTATTGTTTTGAAACGACTACATTCACAAAAAAAAAAAAACTATTAAATTGTTTTATGAGTTTCCATTTCATTTTTAACAGTATTCAGTATTTTCAGTATTCCCTCCCATTGCTCTCCGCACTAAGTCACTCACATTTCAGAGCACTGCTGGCAAGAGAATACATTGTAACTGCTAAAATTTAAGCAATAGCAGTGCATTCACAAGCCGCTAGAAATGAAATGTGAATGCACTGGTGAGAGGTGCTGGAGTTTGTCCTGTTCTAAAAAAAAAAAAAGGGACTAATTAAATAGGGAACTAAGTAAATAAACTTGTTTTAAGCACGTCGGAAAAAAGTTGTCATTTGTCACTTGTTAATTCAATAGTAATGCCCCCTATGGCCAGTAGATGGTGCTCTAACCCTCAGACACGTGCTGTGCAGCGTGGGTTTTTAATAGCAGGACTGGACCTCTGAGAGCAAATGTGCACTGATGAATTGAATTAATGAAAAGAGTTTGTATCGTATTGAACCTTAGCAGCTCTTTAGTTGTTTTTTTTAATGGTAGAGTTGTTACGGTTTATATGTCGTAAAGTTGAATTTATTTATGCAGATTAGTAGTGCAGATACTAATAATAATGATGATCATTTTAATAATTGATCGTTAATTCTCACGATGATCCGTTAAGAAAATTTAATTGAATGCCCATCCCTAATCTGTCAATAGCCAAGCCTACTGACTACTGGTCAGTAAATGCATCACGTTCACTCTCGCATTTCCTACAAGTCACCTGCTCCCCTCCCTCCATTCACATCTGGGAGTGAGGCGAGACAAGACGGCTGCGCAGGAGCCCGAAGGCAAATAGACTGTACAAAACCCTAAATCGAGGGAATTGGCCAGGTGATTCCAGTATCCCAATGGCAAGCTGAACCCAAGGAACCTTCAGTCAACTCACAAATACTCTACCCAGCTTCTACGGTCGGGTAGAGGCTGTTGCAGCCGGTCCGCTCCCACACTTCACTTATTCTAACGTGCATATTGACAATCACACACCCTCTTTAAAGACAATGGACATGTATTATGGACAGTAAAATCCACATTTGTTTAACTGAGCCATGGACAATGATAAAGCCACCAGCAAAGTGACTTATTTATTATTGCTGCTTTGTATTGTGAGAATGTATTAACCCGACTTGAACTGACTTGAACTGATCTGATTAAGCTGATCAATGACATCTGCAGATTACTGTAATTACTGTAAATATTAAATACTGTATATATATTTTGTTCTCCCTATTTTGCACTTTTCTATATACGGCACCAGCCTCCAAACACAAATACCCAGTCTCCTGTGTTTTGCCATTTTCCCACCTCCCAGAGAGCTGCAGCCTAGTCTTCTGTCCCTAGCCCCTACACCCATCTAACTTTACCCCTTTTGTCCCTAGCGTACACTTTTAGATATGCTACAAGTGCACCTTGAAAACATCTGCAAATGGAGCTAAACAAAACAATAGGTAGGTTTGAAGTTTTTTTTTCTGACCTCTTGGTTTGTGTGGCTGAAATGCTGTGTGACTGTTTGTCCAGGAAGCAGCTTCCTGTCTTTGTCCCTTGCTCTGTACCTGCATGTAGTGCTGCAGGGTCCTGGTGCGCGGGGGCCGCGCCACCTCCAGATCTCTGTGCCTCTCGCTGAACTCCTCCACCTCCAGGCCCCTCTCCCCGGCCTGCTCCAGAGTGTCCCAGAGCAGAGCGCACGCCTGGAGGTCCTTTGTGCTGTAGCCCCTGTGCTCCTGCAGCAGAGCCAGGCATTGGTCTGCACTGAGGGGGGGGCAGGAGAGGGAGTGGGACAGGCCGGGGGGCAGCAGGGACGGACCTCGTAAGGACAGGTCCAGAGGAGGCTCAGCTGGAACACAGGGGTGAAGAAATGATTTGTGTTTTCTGAAGTTTTTGTATTTGATGGTCTATTATTGTAAAACATTAGTGAGTACAGCTCATTTACGTAACAGGACAATGCATAAAGCTTTTCATTATATTTTTTACTTTGCACAAATTTCATCAGCTACAAAAGATTCTTGTCACTTAACTTAAAGGCCCTCTCCCCTATGTTTCACAAGTACCGTATTTTTCGGACTATTAGATGCACTCTTAAGCCTCCAACCCCATCAAAAAACCACTGCGCGCCCCTATACACGAATCCACTCGGGTGTTCCAGCACGACTTCAGTAAACTACAAAACTGCACCACCCGCAGAACACACAAACACACACGGAGCAGACAGCAACAGTGCAGCGAAAAACACCCACAGACACACTCATCACTCCACGCCAACGAGGAACGGAATGGAGGAACGAACTGAAAAAGCGAGCGCAATGTGCCACTTCTAGACACAACTGAACAACTGAGTCACTGTGAACACAGCGACAATCCGTTGGTCCCAGACAGCACCCTCCCTACACGCCACAACTGAACAAAGCCCAGAGTCACCGTGAACGCACCAAACAAACAAAACCACCCACCCATCACACTGTTGTGTTTCCTTTAAAGTCCGGTGTGGTTTATTTGTGAAAAAAGTTCGAAAATAGACCATTTAATGACAGTGCACCTTATAATCCAGAGCGACTAATAGTGCAGAAAATACGGTATTTGAGCAAATTTGTCACTGCAGATATATGAAAGTGTTTTATTGTCCAATAATCAGTAAGTGCACGTTAACATGCTTACAAATATATAATAATAATAGTTTTTTTCTCAAAGATGCTTTAGATTGCATTATTATTTCACTCCATACTATGTAGTAGGAAGCTACTTCTGTAGTCACAGCTGCCCTGGGGCAGACTGACAGAAGTCTCCCTCCCACCACTACAGACAGTGCATATTTCCTCAAATCCTCCTCACGCACTTAAGGCAATATACCTGATTTTGAATGAGTTCCTCTGAAACGCTTTGCAGTGGTCCAAAGTCATTCCTCACTGACCTTCTGCATTCTGAGCAGCATAATTATTCATCACGATGAGTTTAAGAGGACTTTACACAACTCTCACAGACCAGAGCAGAGTTTTGTCCTCATAGTAAAGCTAACGACAACTAGCATGCTAACTACTCATTTCCTGATGACTGGACAATAAAAAATTTCATTATGATGCAGACAGTACATACATACAAAGGAGCTGCTTATACAATATACTGTGTCTATAATGGGCCACAACTAATTTGACTCAAACACATGAAAATATGTAGCAAATGTAGCAAGCAGCATGTCCCTGTGCCAGAGACAGGACGAGTGGAAGACGAGTGTGTGTGATGGTGCAGTGTGATGGTGCAGTGTGATGGTGCAGTGTGATGGTGCAGTGTGATGGTGCAGTGTGATGGTGGGGCAGTGTGATGGTGCAGTGTGTGATTGGTGGTGCAGTGTGATGTGTGTGCAGTGTGATGGTGGTGCAGTGTGATGGTGCAGTGTGATGGTGGCAGTGTGATGGTGGTGCAGTGTGATGGTGCAGTGTGGTGGCAGTGTGACGGTGGTGCAGTGTGACGGTGGTGCAGTGTGATGGTGGCGCAGTGTGATGGTGGTGCAGTGTGATGGTTGTGCAGTGTGATGGTGGCGCAGTGTGATGGTGCAGTGTGACGGTGGTGCAGTGTGACGGTGGCGCAGTGTGATGGTGGCGCAGTGTGACGGTGGCGCAGTGTGATGGTGCAGTGTGACGGTGGCGCAGTGTGACGGTGGCGCAGTGTGACGGTGGCGCAGTGTGACGGTGCAGTGTGATGGTGGCGCAGTGTGATGGTGGTGCAGTGTGATGGTGCAGCGTGACGGTGGTGCAGTGTGACGGTGGTGCAGTGTGACGGTGGCGCAGTGTGA